GAAAGCCCTCTTTGTCGCTTAAATTAGGTGAGAGTTGTTAAAACATTAACTTTTACAATAACAGTAGAACGTGTTAACCTACTTTCGTTTTACAATACGTCTTACAGTAACTTCTAGGGTTTATGGCTCTTTGTTGTAGGTAATGAGGGTTTTATGCTTAAAAACAGTATTTAAATTCAAAAATATTATAATTGATGAACAATATCACTGTGTTAAATCCCAATTTCCTTACAGTAAACACAAGGCTCTTGTCTTAATATGCCTATAGTAAGAGCTTACTATAATATTAAATAGACAAACACATTTTAATGACCAAAAACCCAAGCTCCCACTCCCAGACGTCGCTACAAAAAATAAAACACAACAGATTAACTAAAACGAATATTGTAGAGATCTTCCGCGACTAAATGACCAGAGGGAAAGTGATTTATGACAGATGGCTGCAGTTCATCTCCACTGTGACAATGTATTTTTAGACTTAAATTAGTGATTTTAAAAGCTATTTCATAAACATATAGGTAACAATAAGGCACAAATTAGCTATACTATTTATAAAATTTGTTTATGATTATTATGTTAAAAGCGTCTAAATTTTAAATTAATTTTTTTTAAATTTAAATGTATTTAATTTTTTTTATACATCAGACTTCCCAGAAACACCAGTCCGAGATAATTATAAAGGATGTTAGGTGATCAAGAAAGGCAATGGATTGAACTGCGACTAGCAAAAGATCAGTGGACCGCAAAGAATGACATAGTCCAACAAGTTCAGTAGGCCAACAATGTGATGGTCTGATGAGTTTAGTAAAATTGAAAGAAATTCATCAGAAGCAACAGAAGAAGTGTTGCAAACTGTATGATCATCTGCATGAGCGTCAGTTATTGCAATGCTTTCTAATTGTATTGTACTATTTATTACTTTGACCAAAAATAGGTTAGCAAACTGAAAACTATAAGAATAGGTAAAATACGTTTGTTAATGCACTGTCAGTTATCATATTATTCCAGTCGTAAAGTTGACTAAAATCGTTTCAAAGCGGTTTTTTTTGGAGCCAAGCTAAAAAAGCTTCAGAGTTCCGCTCGTGCAGAGAGGCTTGTCTGAAATAATTTTTTTTATTTTCGGTAATTTATTGTTTGTTTTTTTCTTTTATCGTCTGATTTTTTTAAACATGTTTAATACATATCTCAATAAGACTTGAACTTCCTAGACTGTCCTTTTAATGTTTCAAAAAATTTAAAGAAAAATTCAAATAATTGTACCTCTTAACGAATCACATGGGCATTCAAAATTTGTTTGTTATACAGATTTTAAATTTCCTCAATACCAAAACTCTTTTATATAACAAACAAGTTTCAAATTTCTAAGCACTTCGTTATACAAAGTCCTACTGTTCTCAAAAGTAATTGGATTTATTTTAAAGTACAGTAGGACTCTTGATTTTTTAAATATTTTTTTAATTATTTTTTTACTCAACTTATTATTGTTATCGTATTTTTTGTAAGTAAACTGTTATAGTCAGTGTTGTAGCCAGTTTTCATTTCTTTGTGCAGTAACTATACCTATAAGCCAAAATCCGGCTAATCTAAAACTCAGAACGACCGTAACAAACAAAACTAATATTCTTGTAAGATACCACGGTAAACCGACCATCTTTTGCATAATTGGAATCGCCGTTGGCGTGGAAAGTCGCCGTTCGTGTTTGGGTATGTTAAAGCGGAATGAACCATTACAAAAGAAAACAAAGGTCGCTAATAAGAGGGAGCGGCGGTCTCGGCTGGCTCTCGAAGAATGCGATAGACAAAGGTACCTTCATTTTGTCATATATTTGCTGCTGTTTGTTGTCAACGCTTTTGCATAAGTCGGCGGATTTTCTTTATCTGGTTATTTCACAAACCCTCAGGGCGATTGTTACTTTTTCATTGCTTTTTTATTACTTTTTGCACTTTTAGGCGGTTTTTAATTAGAATGGGCATAATTTTTATTTTTGATGTTATGTTATTATACTTTTTGTAAAAAATGCGCTAGCTATTTTTGGTTTTTGAAATTTTTAAATTTGAAAACATTTTTTTTTGTTTTTGCCATAAATATTAGGTTAAACCAAAAAAAGCGGAACACTTTCTAATTGTTTTTCCACTAAAAAGTGTCCCGCTACTTTTGGTTCAGCCATATACAGTACTCTCTCTATATAAGCAACCCGAATTGACCGACATTTTGTGTTTACTATAGGAAGTTTTGTCTTTACAGAAAGACTTTTTAGTGCAAATTGACTTGGCGGGGCCAAATTTCTTGTTTACTATAAGCAGAGTTGATTATACAGATGGTTCACTATATAGAGAGACCACTGTACAATAAATTAACAATGAAATTACTCAACCAGCCCTACTCATAATTAGCTCAAAATTTTTATATGAATTCTTTGTATCACCAATAGTACCCATAAAAAATTTTAGTTTTTAATTTTGAGTTTTAAATTTAAATTATTTGAAGTTCCCGCCAATTTGGCAAATGTAGCATTGTGTTTCAAGCACTTTTTTTGACTTTCCAGACAAGCTACGCTTACAAATTTAAAATTTTATGTTTATTTAAAGATTTTCTACTAATATATCAAAGAAAAATTATTAAAAATAAAAAAAAACGACAAATTTATAAACTTGAAACACAATGCCAATTTGACAGAAAATTCAAAGCTTAATTTTTTGATCTTTATTTTCTGGAGATTGACTGGAAAGCACAATTTAGTATGTTGCTGAAGATTTTATATTTACATTATCTTTCTATATAAAAAGTTTCAAGTGAATCAGAGCGGGGCAGATCGGGCACTTTCCTTGTAAATAAGTTGGTTCTTACCGTTACATCTTTTGTCAACAAAGTTTTTGCTCTTTTTTTAAACTTTTTTTAAACAAAAGTTTTTAAACAATTGTTAAAAAGAAATATTTTTTAAATTTGAAATTTTTAAAAATGCTTTATTTCTTTCAAAGAATGTCGTTTTGAGTCGAAACATTGTCAAGTTGCAGCAATGTGAACGACTAACCCATATCAATATTACTGTGTCGTCGCATTCTTTTGTTTCCATTTTTTCGAAAAAAGTTTTAACCTGATTTCGCTTTTATCAAGGTAAACTGCTTTTGGACTCTTTTGTTTCCGCTACTCATTAAGCGCTTAAAAAAGTTTCAGTCAGTTATTTTCGTTTTCTGGATCGGGTTTGGAGCGGTTTTAGCCCAGTCTTGGTTTTATGGTTTTGTTTTTGGATTTGATTTTATAATTGTTTTTGTTTTGCATATATTGGTTTCTTGGCATATGAAATCACTTTCTCATTAAACTTTTTTTTAATTTTATTAGTTTTTTGAAACATTTACTCTTAATTACAGTAGAACTTTTGTATAACGAATCGCTTGCGGATTTGAAATTTGTTTGTTATAAAGAAGTTTCGTTATAGAGGAGTTTTTAATGCACTGTGTAGCGATAGAATGGGATTCAAAAGTTTTTTGTTACACGTGTTTTCGTTATAAAGGAGTTCGCTATACAGGAGTTTCACTGAATTTTCGTCATAAAGACGTTCTGATGTACAAGAACTTTAAATGCACTGTGTAGTGTTGTTGGCTGGAGTACGTATTGAGAATTGTTTTTATACGGGATTTTTGTTATAAAGAATTTTTTTTATTTTTACAAGAGTTCCTTTGCAGTTTCTTTAGAGGGTTGCTTTACTTCTTTTTGTTGCTTATGTGTAGGTATAATAATTGGATGATTTTGCTCATGTTTTTTACTAAAGATGAACCAGAATTTGGTCCAGAACTGCGTTCTATCATTTTCGTTTTTTAAAGGTGCTATGAGATCTGAAAAAGGGTCTAATAGGCTCAACTTATCTTCTTTCCGGCACCTTTGAATCCGAAGGTCTGAGCTCAAACAAAAGCTCTAGGTTCCGCAACGAAAGATTTGCCTTGCTATTACAAATGTGTAAACCCTATATGATGTTGAAGTATTTTAGTTAAGAATACTTTTTGAATTGTATAATAGTTATTAGGTCGAACCAAAAGTAGCGGGACGCTTTTTATTTATTTTTTAACTAGACAATGTCCCGCTACTTTTGGTTCAACCTAATAAAAATTATAATGGTTAAATATTGGACATTTAAAGCACAAAAATACGATACCAGTTTTTCAAGTTATTACTTTAATGAATTTATATAAGAGCTGGGCTGCACTGAAGCAAATTTTAAAAGGGACGGGCTGAAAAATTGGGCTCGGCTTCATATCTTTGCTGTTCTATTTATTAGGTTGTTCACATAATTCTGCGCCTTCGTACCCCACAAATTAGCTTTGAGAGGGAGCGCAGAATTAAGTGAACAACCTAATAGATACTACTTTTGGTTATTTTTAACATTATTTTTTTCATTTTTTTTCATTTTTTTTACTTTGACCATCCTTTCACATGCCACTTTTTACATTGCAGTACATATCATATTATACTTTTACTTTTCACAACTCTCAAACCCGCTCGATCTTTAGTCGTGATATAACCCAGTTCACGTTACCTCAAGCATTAATTGAGATCGGGCTGGCGACGCTGTTTTTTGTCGCTTTGTCTTCTGTTAACGGAAGTAGCCTGAGGGTCGGGGGCGATGACATTTGCAAAACTTTTTTGAAACTTTTTTTAAAACGTGAAATTCAAACAATTCTATTGTCTTGTATTGTAATTTGAGGTATAATGGGTTTCTGCTGATAGTAGAATGGGTAATAGGAAACGAGTTATTTTTGTTTTTTTACCGTGTTATCTTTACAGTAAATTGAAATATTACTGTAAAGTAAATAAAAATGGGTTTGGAAAAAATGATTGTTGGGCTGGCGATGTTGGTTTGAAGTTTAAAAAATATTTTTTGAAAGTAAGGTAGGCTAGGGTAAAATAAATTACGCTAGGGTAAGGTATGCTACACTATGGTGAGATAGGTTAGAGTAGGATAAGATAGGTTAGACTAGGGTAAGATAGGCTGAGCTAGAGTAAGATGAACTACTCTAGAGTAAGGTAATATAGGCTAGACTAGAGATACTGTTGGGCAAGGTAGTTTTAAAAAATTTTTTAAAGTTTTTTTACTTCAGGGCTACGTTTAGCCTTTTTAAGGCTTGTAACTCTTTTAAAACATCCATTATGTTATCGTAGCGAACGGTCCCTTTTTAAACTGAAAATCTATTCTTCAACTCTCACTTATAACAATATGTTTATTCAGGGTTAACCGTTCAACCTTAAGGCTTTTGGCCTTCAAGTCGTTGTTCTGTCGGCAGGTCGATCAACTTTTAGAAGTTGTAGAAGATTCAGAAGTTGGAGAACGTTCTGAATTTGGAAAACATTCAGAAGTTAGAGAAGTCACCGTTGTTGGCAATGCAAGAAGGTATCATTCAGATCAAGGTGGGGGAGGAAGGTCACTCACAGCGACATGCACAACACAACGAAAGCGACAAAGGTAACATTACTTTAAAAATTTTAAAGTTTACAGTAAAAATTTAGACTTGTAATGTAAGTTATGGCCTAGAAAAAAAGTTTTTTTAAATATTTTTTGATTTTAAAATTGTATTTTAGGTTTAAAAATTATAATATTATGATATTTAGACTAAAATTCTTTATTTTAATTCAAATTATAGGTTCGACATAAAGAACCCGCCATTTTTTACAGGAAATTACAGGAAACGTATGGCGGGTTCTTTATGTCGGCACTTGATAAAATAGTACTTCTGTACTATTAGGTGGTTCACTTAATTCTGCACTTTTTCTCAAAGCAAATTTGTATGGTAAAGGGGCGCAGAATTATGTGAATAACCCAATATAATATGATAGTCCAAGCTAAAAATTAGAAGAAACACTGTAAGCATGAAAAGAAGTTGTTGTCCATCAATTTAGACGTTATTTATCACTAAGAGCAGCTGATTTTTTAGTCTAGGAATTTGAGGACTTGTTTGTCTGGCCCAATGGCTACTTTTTACTTTTTCAAACGTCTTACTAGCTTTATTATTAGGTGTTCAAATAATTCAGTGCTTCTTCTCAAGCCAATTTTTTTGGTTTATGGGGCACAAAATTATGTGAACAACATAATACTTTTAACTTGTCTTTAACTTTGCTTGAAACCCACCCCCCCCTTTCCCAATATAAACCTTTCTAGCCTCTCCCCCCCACCCCAAACGTTATCCTTTTCAAAACCCAAGCTTTTAGAAGACCAAGCCTCGTGCAAACTCGACGCTCTCTCAGTTCAATCAATGACAGATTCAGAATGTTCACCATCTGACATCTCAAAGACCTCATCCTCAGTCTACTCGACTGATTGGCCGCAGAAGGACTCGATCATCTCTACTACAATATCGTCAACATCATCACACGTGAACAAGAAACCAGATGGCAAAATGAAGATCAAGACCTTGTGTTTACTGGGCGCTTTGTTACCTGGCATCGGGTGCTACTTTTGCGTCGCCTACACTTATTTATTCCAGTTCGACAGGGTTTTGAACTTCACTTCCACTAATTGTCCTGAGGTTATGAGGTAATATTTTTTTATTTTAAAATTGAAATAAAATTTTTAAATCTTTTAACATGCCCTGCCTTACTTTGCCTTACTCTTTTATATCTGTCTTATAAAAATCTACCTCTCTTAAAAATGTAAAAAGGCTAATCCATGCCTTGATTTATTACTATTTTTTAAACATTTGCTTTGGCTTGGCAAGGCCCAGATGATCATTTTTTTACTTGCCTGCCCTCCCCCCCCTACTTAGACTTGTAATGGGGCTAGGCTGGACTTTGGTTTAGCCTTTAGGATCACGTGTGCCAACCTTACTCCTTTCAAGTTTGCTTTAGCTTACAACAATATGTCAGACCGGGTCTAGTGGGCTCTTTTTCAGTTCTAACTTTACTCCTTTTTTCATTCACAAAATTAAGATTACAATTTTTTAGTTCCTTCCCTCCAATCAGCTACTCAATTGGAGTATGGAAGCCTCAGAAGTACGTTTGGCTTATTGTAATGGCGCTGCATATGCCTCCACGGTTCTTATATGGCTTGGTAAGGGTTTTTTGAAGCTAGTTTTTTTAAATACGTATATTTTTTCAATTTTTGTTACTGAAATAATATGGCTTTCACAAAAACGTAAATTTTTAAAAAGTCCGCTGTCTTAAATCTTTGTTTAAGCCTGTATTTAAAATTAATTCCATTTCAGGCCTACAAAAACCAATACACATATGGTCAATCGACCCACAAACAGTTATGGTGGTTTGACTGGCTGGTGAAACTTCACCTACGACTGTTCTTCCTAGAATCCGTGGGATTGATATTAGTATCAGTAATCGACATTGAGAGCTCATTCATTATCCACGCTGCTTCGTATGCTTTGTGGATTATATGTTTGAATTTCAATATGTTGTTCAACACCATACTACAACATTACTCTGGAATCAAAGATTTAACTGAAAATGTAAGGTTTGAGCGATTAGTAGCTATACTTGAATAAGGGATTACTAGGCCCGACGTCGGCATAGAAAAGTAATCGACAGTTCGAATCGAAGTCAGACTCAGCTGGGCCACAGAAAATTCGAAAGGGGCTGGGCCGGCACATCTGAAGCCTAGGGTCAGGACGGAAACCAAAGTCCTAGGGGCACAGATTACTTTCCACATCAAAAGGTTTTGCAAACAAAAAGTTTGAAACCAATCTGATTTATAAAGCCACGCCGGGCCGGGCTGAAGCAACTTTGAAAAGGGCCTGGTCGAAAAACATACATATAATAATAATATATAAATGTACTTCAGCACAAAACCACATTCTACATCAAATGTGTTCTGTTTGCGTTTGCTTATCCTCTGTCAGTGTCAACGGGCATTTCGTACATGACATATCTGGCTTATTGTAACGGGTTTGGTAAGTTGTTTTAAATATTAATTAAAGTACTAAAGTACTAAATGCACTAAAATGCACAAAGTACTAAAATGCAATTGAGTATTGAGTTGGGCTTGTCTTTGGGTATTGTCGGTTACAAAGTTTTGTCAGGAGCGGTTCTTTTTAATGTTTAAGTACGATATGGTTAAAAAACTTTATTTTGTTTATTGGGTACCTCTATAAATTGCAACAAAAGTGCCCTAACCAGTGTTTTGCCGGACCGGACGGACCGAAACAGAAATTTTTGCGGACCGGACCGGACCCAAATACCTGCGGATCCGGACCGAAGAAAAAGCTCCTGACCGGTCCGGAAGAAAATTTTTTTTCTATTTTAAAAAAACTGTTTTAAAAATTGCAAATAAAACATATTTTTAGGAGTTTTTAAGCAAAAAGAAAGCAGTTTTAGCGATCCTTGCTTTTTTTAAAAATTAAAAAAAATTTTTTTGCGGACCGGACCGGACCCAAAAAATCGCCGGACCGGACCGGTCCGGGCAAAACACTGGCCCTAACTGCCCCGCTCTAACTGACTTCAAACTTTTTACATAAGAAGATCATGTAAATATAAGGCCTTCTAATAAGTACTAAAACGTGCTTTCCAGGAAATCTCGAAAAAGTTAATTTCAAAATATTACGTTTTCAATTTCTCGCAAATTGGCATTGTGTTTTAAGCTTATAACTTTGTCATTTTTTCACTTTTAATTATTTTTCTTTAATATAATAGTAGAAAACCTTTAAATGATATATTTATAAATTTTTAAGGGTAGTTTGTCTGCAAAGTCAAAAAAAAGTGTTTAAATCACGAAGCCAAATTTGCGAAAATTGACGGGTAATTCAAATATTTAAACTTTAAAACTCAAAGTGCAAGCTAAAATTGTTTATGGGTGCTATTGGTGGTACAAATAATTCATATAAAAAATTTGAGCTAACTCTCAGCGAGGCAGGTACTTCTCTTGTAAATTATTATTCTTTTTAAGATTTTAAAGACTAAAACCTGACAAAAAACTTTGATTTTACACAAAATATGTGGTTAAAATATGATTACATATCATCTTGTACTACATTATCGAAACTAAGACCTCATATTGATAAACAATTGCAGCATACGCCGCCTTCTCCGTCGCCGAGTACATAATCGTCGGCATCAACTCGGCCTTCTACTTCACCTTGATCTGGGAGTTGAAGGGATCGTGCATGGAGATTCATGTACGACACGATTCGCCCGCCTTCCGCGCTGACGTCTAACCATGCCATACATATTGATGTAAATAATGTTGGTCTCACGTATTCTCTGCTTTTGTTGATGTTTGTATATATACAAGTTAACATAAATAATTATTCTTTATGGTTTAATCTACTACAATATACTTGCAAAAGTTATAACTTATTATAACATACCTGCAGAAGCTATAACTTACTATAATATATCTGTAGAAGCAACATCTTACTATATATATACCTACAAAAACAATATGACAACTCAAATAACCTTTTTCGTTTACTTATCAACATATTTAGATCACAACATAAAACATATAAAACTCTCTCACAACAGCGAAATTACCATGCAATCATACAGTAAACTCCATGGATCCAGAGAGTAACGATCGGTTGTCCTCCTTGTATCGTGCTTCATCTGGACCTTCGGCCGTCGACTTCTTGCCCATTAAATTGAATCCACATTCTGAATGAGTGGCCGAAGCGCTGAGGTAGTCTTTGGGCCTTTGGCGACGATTCCCTCCAAAGGATTCACTGAAGCCGGCCAAGGAGAAGCGAGGCTGTCGTGCTGTGACTGGCATCGACTGAGACGTGCCGTGATGGGGCTCGTCTTCGGTTAGGTCAAGGTGAGGCACGGGGGCGTTTATGATCTCTAAATTTGGGTTGTAAGTGGGTTTGTATGTTTACATTGCTTTAAAATTGAATATAAACCTTGAGTTTTATTTTTTTTGCCAAAACCACCCCCTAAGAAGGCCACTGGTCGCCCACTTTCATAATTGGTTGTCCTACTCAAAAAACCCGCCCCAAAAGTCACAAATATACATTACCACCCCCCCCGCCCCCCCCGCCTGTCCATAAACTTACTAATTTCATTCCTCAGTTGCCTGATAAGATCATCCTTATCACCTTCGGCCAACGTCTTCTTAGTCATGTGGTAGATGATACCACATCCATAACCGTCACCTAGCACATTTACAGAAGTCCTGATACGATCCAGAAGCCAATCGACTGTTAATAACAATGAGAGGTCTTTTACTGGCAAACCCACGGTTGTTAGTACTACTATCAATGTGTCTAGTCCAGCTGGTACTGACCCAGAGCCGATTGATACTACTGTTGTTGTGAAACTGTAAAGCATAATCATATGTTAACATTGATATTGTTGAACACTCATTCGCTACCTTACATAACCTTACTCTACTCTACCCTGACTTAACTTAACTCACCTTACCTTACCCTATCCCACCTTATCTTTCCCTACTCTAGGCTCTACAGTATCCTCAACTTTACAGTACCATGACCCTACAGTACCGTATTCTACCTTATTTTACTCTATCCTACGCTGCCATGCCCTACCCTAGTTTAAGTTATCCTGCCTACCCTACGCTACTCCACCCTGCCCTACATTACCTTATTGAAAAAAGGGTAGCGCAAGGTAAGGTAAGGCAAGATACCCATATCTCACTCATACTCATATCGTATTTACACCACCCTACCTAATCGTCAGAAGCTCGACCAAAGAAAGCTGTATATTATTGAGTTGAGCAATGAAAATGACAGCGACAGCTTCGTACAACGCCGTTCCATCCATAGTAATAGTCGCTCCTAATGGCAATACAAACCGAGTTACACGACGATCTATCTTCAGTGAATCTTCCAAGGCTCGGAATGTTACTGGCAGTGTAGCACCACTAAAAGCAATGTAAGGCTATTACAATGGCTACTACTGTATAACAAAAGTTTAACATAAGTACTACCTTAAAGTAACTCTAAGGCTATACAATGACATGTATCAGTAAAATAGTACAATCTATAAATATGAGTCAGTAAAATAACCTTATACGACGAATATATATCAATAAAATTACTTTATGCAATGAATTTGGGTCAGTAAACTACAAAAACATACCTTGAAGCCGTACCGAAGGCTGTAGCCACAGCTTGTAACATACCGGTCATAAAATTGAAAGGATTGCCTCGAGTAAACATGTAATAAAGTAATGGCAAAGTTAACAATGAGTGAATCATCAATCCACAAATTACTGTTACTACGTACTGAAATGTATCAGTTATATTAGGCCGTTCAATTCTGCGCCTCATATAAACAGCTTTTAATTCATAGGATTAACATCAAAAATTTAATCCTTTAAGTAAAAATTTTTTAAAAAATTATCATTATTAGGTTGTTCAAATAATGATAAACCCCCTAACCCCAAAGTTGCTTTGAGAGGGGGCATAGAATTATTTGAACAACCTAATATAACAAAAACGAAAATACTGTTATCTTACCATAGCCAATGCCTGTGCAGTTTCAGTCAAATTGTCAATGTCGACAATATTTTTCGTTACCAAAGACAATATCCCGATCGGATATACCCACATTAATGCCGTGATCCACCTCATAATCACAGCGTCCAGTACAATGAAGAAGTTGATCATCAAACGAGCTTGCTCGCCTAATATCGACAAGATCACACCAAAACCAGTGCAGAACACAATCAGACCTAGAAGATGACATGTTTTACTTAGTAAATGAGCAAGTATTAACAAGGTTTGTTACCTAAAATCTTTAAAAAGCACAGCTAATTCACAATACTTCTAAAAATCCTTGTTTGTTACCTAAAATATTGAAAAAAACACAGTTCTCTGCCAAATCTTTTAAAAAATCTTTTTGTCACCTAAAATATCAAGCCTAAAGCCATTTTTTGCTTTTTTTCACGATTTTTTTCCAAAACATAACTTTCCCTTCTCCAATAAGCTTGATTGCAATAAGCCCATTGTTTGTTAATAAGAATTTCTTGTTTTATGGCAAGATTTCAACCTTAAAACACCAAAAATTCCTTTTCACTATTCATTACAAAGAATATCTTACCCAAAACATTAACTTCATTGGTGTAAGTCAACACCCGTTTCATTAGCTGTCGTTGAGTGCCATTACTAACCACCACTAAAGCGCTCGAATTGTTTATTGCCCTAACTTTAGGCTTAACTGGAACATAATCGGTTTGGACTTGTTGAAACGTGGCTTGGACTATGTTTTCCGGAAACATGTTTCTAAAAAAGTATATTTTAATTAAAATTATGATACTATTATCCATATTAACACAGGTTTAGACCTAAAAGAGACCCTCTAGGCCCGGCTACGAGCTCGAGTTTAAATAAAGGCCTCAGGGGTCCAGTTTAGGTCCCGCAACGAAAGATTCAACAAGAAATTTTAGAACAAAACAAGTAGAATACAAAAATAATTTTCTTACCTAATTTGGTCTAAGAACGTGTCCAATGTTGACAAAGCCGTATCATCCAAAGTTCCTTCGCCAAACTTCGTGGTCAAATGAGGATCACCTGGATGAATCGACTGGACCAAGATTATACCGGTCTGTCTGTGTGAAACGACATAATTAGAGACATATTTCTTGATTTTCTCACTTATCTTGACTTAGTTGATATAAATTTTAAAATTTGATTAAAGATGTGTTAAAACCCGTATTTTACAATATAAATTGCCAATTTTAGGGTATATTTTAGCCACTTTTAATTTAAAATGTCAAATATTAGTGCGTTCAAATAATTATGAGCCCCCTCTCAAAGCAAGTTTTTGGAAACTAAGGGGAACACAATTACTTGAACAATCTAATAAAATACCATTTCAAAATTAAAATTTTAAAAAAAACTCACAAAAGTTGACAGAAAAGTAGTAGTCATATAGTACAATACAGTTAGCAAGCCTATCTTCCCAGCATGGCCAGGCTTCACTTGTGCCAACGCACTGATAACCGAACTGATAATCAAAGGTAATATCATCATCTCCACAATTTGCATAAATATCTCGCCTGGAAAGCCGATTAAACTGATGGCATCGTTACTAGGGTTGAAAGGTCGTATCATGAACCCGAGTACTATGCCTACGACCACAGCTTCGATTGTGAACACCAAGATTAGGTCTTTGTTCATTTTGCTGAAAACATTGCTTTTAATAAAAAATTTTAGTTTGTAAATATTGGGTCTTTCAAATAATAATGTGCCCCCTAACCCTGCAAGTCCGCTTTGAACAAAGCACAGAATTATTTGAACAATCTAATAACAGAATTTTCTTATAATTTTTAAATTAAAAAAATACATTTTTAAGCCATTGTTAAGGTTTCGGAAAAAGTCTTGGCGCTTCTTTACGTCCAAAACAAAGTAAATTGGCGCCAAGACTTTTTTTTAATTTAATGAATAAATAAAAACCACATTTTTTGACTTACATTTGCCCAAAATAGCCAAAGAAACAAGCTAAAACAAGGTAAAACTAGCCAAAATAAATCCTTTCTAAAGATACTATTGCTGTTTACAAAAAGTGTAATAGTCGTTTGTAATCTTCCTTACAAACTCATGGCCGTCTAGAAAAATTGATATATAACTATTATATATACATCTTATAGTATAGATAGTATAACGATATACCTATTATAGTATAACGCATAATCGCGAGAAACGTATGTTACAAATAAATTGAAAAAAGGAAAGTAAAACCAGAGAATCGGATCATCTTACCCCACCCACACTTCAAATTCTATTTATTACAACAGTTTTGAAAGGGTTGCTTTGTTTTAACATTTTTTAATTGATAAACTAGTAAATAAGTTAATTATTTTGCTTTTTTAATAGCATAGCTTTGGCTAAGTTTTTAGAGCGCACATCCTTCGCAAAGCCAAGTTTTGCATTGACTAAAGACAGTCAGTTAGAGCAATCTTGTGTTATTAGGTCGTTTAGATAATTTTGTGTTTTCTAACGCCAAAATTTTTCTTTCATATAGAGCACAGAATTATTTGAACCACCTGATATAAACCGTACCCTACTCTACCCTACCTTATCCTACTGTACCCTGACTTGTTCTACCCTACTCTATTCTACCCTACTTTATCCGGCAATACCTCGCCCTACTCTACTCTACCCAACTCTACCTTATCCCACCTAATACTACTCTACTTAATGTACCTTACCTGGTCTTAATCTACGCCGCCTTGCTCCGCTCTACCCTACTCTATCATATTTTATCCTTCTCTACCCCGCCCTGCTCTATTCTACCTTACCCTTTCAAATCTCGTCTTATTAAATCATTATCTTTTATAATCAAAAAAAGACATGGCTACAATGCTTTACACTCCAGTAAAAACATAAAATAATACATCGTTACCAGATGTAACGTAACTATCGCTTCTACACAATAAAACTACAACATGACAATTGATAACAGCCTGTGTTCAAAAGCTTTTTCAAAAAAAGAAGCCAAAAAGCGGTTTTACATTACAGTTTTACTCCAAAACGTTTTTTTGAAACCAAGTAGTTGAAAGCAAAAATATTTTAATTCGCTCTTATCACTGATAGGACCTTCAGTTTCCTTTTCGGTGAGGTAAACAACGTAAAAGGCTTATCATTAACAAGATTTATGATCAGAGAAGGGTGATATTCGAAAGGTCTGTCTGGTAATTTATATCATTTTACAATTTTTGTCGCTTTTTTACTTGTTTGTGACATTAAAAATGACATAAAAATAGTTTTTTGGGTAATTTTAGTCAACGATAGCATCATAATTAACAGTGTTTTGCCGGACCCGTCCGGTCCGGACCGAGGTCCGGTCCGGTCCGGAAAAAAAATATTTTTTTATTTTAATAAAACTGTTTTAAAAATTGCAAATAAAACATATTTTTAAGAGTTTTTAAACGTAAAGAAAGCAGTTTTAGCGCTCCTGGCTCTTTTTAAAAATAAAAAAAAATTTTCCGGACCGGACCTGACCTTTTTGGTCCGGACCGGACCTGAGCGAAAAAAAATAGAGCCGGACCGGACCGAAAAAATTCTCATCCGGACCGGTCCGGCAAAACACTGATAATTGGTCTTTTCTAAGTCTTTTTAGCTTTTTAAAACTTTAAAATTAGCCAAACAAGAGCGTTTTTTATGAGAATATTGCTTATGTTGAGAACAAAATGTGAAAAATATCCTTTTATAGCCTACAAAAATATAAATTGGGGTTAAAACCTATTATAATATAGCAACTTAGACCCTGTAACCAATTCCTTTCAACCCAAAATTGTTTTACCGATCCCAACTACATAGTTTAGACTGTAACAAAACCCAACTACATAGTGTAGGCTGTAACACGCCCTTAAGGCATTTAATTTCGACTGGCGCGACAAATAAAATTAAATCAAACCGATTCGAGAGTTTGTACGAAGAGTCGATGGATGCTTATTCATTTGCATATTAGCGGTGGATTGGGCAGCGATTTGCGTCACATTTTGGCTTTTAATCCCTGCACTTGACTGTTATCATTATCATTTTTGTTGCTATCGTCATGTTTAATATTGTTTTGGATAACATAAGTGCAAAACCTGTATTATATTACTACTGAAACTTGCCTGTAATACTCAGAAGAGCACAAGTTTTATGATTATTATGATATCATCATTATAATACACATAAAAATATAAACATCATAATACATATATAACTCGTAGTAAACATTCCATCCTATCACCCTTCCCAACCATTTCAAAAAAAGTTCAAACTGCCACTTACAATGTTGAAATAACTTTATTTACAGTAGCGAATCGACTAGGCTAAACAAGATCTCTCTAGATTGAAATTGTAACTGAAGTCGTATTGATCCGGTAGCTCTGGGTCCGGCTCTTTAGCACCTGATGAATTTGTCGTTACCAAGCGAGGATTCAATTTGAACTCGATACCTTCCAGACCCTTAATCGGATGTTGACCTGCTCTGATTGTGCACACACCAATGTTTGGTAATGGGTTTGAGGTGCCTGGTGGTAGGGGAGTTGGATCCAGTGATGGGTATAAGGAGCTGAAGAGGTTTTATTAAGTTTATGACTTATATTAATCAGAAAATCGGTTAAGATAGTTAGGTTAAAAATAAAAATGTATGCATGTATCATCCTCTGCCATTTAAAAATTCTTGACTTACTTCAAAGTGCGATACCTCTAAATTGACTTACTGCACAGTAAAAACCCGAAGTAAACTTACGGCTGTGGGTTCCTTTGCTTTACTCCATAATTCTCTGGAATGGTCTGAACCCGGAAACAAATATAAGCACCATCTACTTCCCTATAACAATTATGACTTTATTTCTACTATTTAACTTCTATTCAAATCAAAGCACATCAAAGTACTTTCAAAACAGCCTCCTACAGAGTTCAATAGTTAAACCTAGATTTTCAAAGGTAAAAAGCAAAGGTCAATGTTATTATTATTAGTCTGTAAAGAATAGAAGCTTAACAGTTATATATAACGCTAAAAAATTTGACAAACAACTCACCCAGCCAACGTATAGCCCTTTGGTGGTTTCCTATGTCTAGTATGTACAATAACATCAGTTAGAGCGTCCAGGGCATCACTTCTTGGTGTAAACCGGACACAAACAAACTTTTTCTTCAAAGCTCTTTCTTCTGAAAATGCAAAAATTATAAATTTGTCCTTTCGCAACCTTAACAACGTTTTATAAATCAAAAACTGAAAAAAAGTTATCTTTTTTGAATCCTTTTACCATTTTTAAAAGAGCGAAATCTTTAAAGTCAAATATAAAGCATAGAAATCAACTTACTTGTGTCAGCAGTGTAATCGATGCATACAAAATTGGTTGGAACAGCTTCTTTTTCCGAAATCACAGATAAATCTGTTATTACCTCATGTGCCGTCTGAAATAAGATTAATTAATAAATAAAACAACATACAAATACTAATTATCCCTTCAGTAAATTAGAAAAAACCCCAAAAAAATAGTAAAGCCACCCAAAGCTTACATTCTCAGGAGCAATCCGTGAAATAGCCAGATATCTAACAGTTCTGTTGAATATTCCAAAGCCAAATCCATCCTTCCACAGATCAGCATCGCTTCCATCGTCAGCGCTTTTAGTTATCTAAACATATAATCACACAAATGAATTAACTTACAGCTGTAAAATTGGCCGGACATCTCGCTTTATCGGCAATTAAACACAACGAGACTATTGGAAGCTCGTTCTCCCCAAATTCTGCGTCTTTACACAACATTTTAGAACAATATTAATACAAAACAAATATAGATTACAAAATTCACGTTCAATTTAGAGTAATTAAAGAAAAGAAAGACAAAATCCGGTATTATTCATCAATTCAACGTTTTGTTATCGCAAATATATTGTGCATCGGACGCGCGCTGCTTTCTAATCTCAATTTATACGACGGAACATATATTAAATATATTTTTTGGAGTTTTTTTGGTTTCGGATATATTTTCGTTGTTTGTTGACTTATTGTTGTTATAATAAAATCTGTTTTATAATGGATCTAGCTGTAAGTTGTTTTTTAAATAATTTTTTGTTTTAGGTTGCTTTTTATGAACTTTTTTTTTAATAATTTTACGGTGTAAATTAAGGTTATTTTGTATTTTTAGACTTTTTACGAAGAAGAAGACAAATTAGCCGTAAGATTGACAGCTCAAAAGGTTCGGGAGATATCAGAAAAGCTCATTAGTGGTATCAGAGAATGTTTACAACACACTCCACGAGACATTCGACGAGCTCAATGCTTCGCTTTACAATTGAGACAGCTGAACAGGCATTCAAACTACAGGTTGAAGAAGCTCAAGGATCAGCTCGGGGAAGTGAGAGGAGATGCTGAACAAGCTGCTTTAGCTCAGAATAATTTGGCTAGTGAGATTTCACACATTAAACGAAGTATCGCTGCGTGTTTGGACTTTAAGTAAGTGTTTTACATTGTTTCTCTAACTTTTAGGTAACTTTAGTGTTGTTTTATGGTTGTTGGAAATAATTACAGCTTGACTTTGTTTACTCATGCTTGGTTTCAGTTTTTTATAAAAAAAACTATAAATTTGGAAGAAACTTTGATTCTTATATTGTTTTACATTACAGATCTCTAGACCAAGAGTTGGAGCTGGTTCCGCTAGAAGAATTCAAAGAAAAAGCTGGTGAATGCATGGAATTGACAGAAGAAACGCTTGCAGATCCTCATAAGCTGTATTTAGCTCGGTTAAACTATGAAATTTATCAAAGGAATGCGTAAGTTTATGTTCTTTCTAGTATCAACTAATATAAGACAAAAATTACTAATTGTTTAGACGTATAATCTTTTCTGAATTTTATTCTTAAGATGAACCTTACTGATTAATTGTTTTTAGAATGGTAGAATCCTTACAAGAACTTGATGGACGACGAAACGTTTTGGCGAGCGATATCAGTGGCAAAGAGCACCGGCTAAAACAAATAGATCCAATAGTTGTAAAGCTACAGGAAACTACAAAGGAGCTGATTGAGTTACTGGGAGTGCCATAATGGGTAGTACTGTTGTTTTTTGGTAATATTGATATAGTGATGGCGTTACATATTAAATTCATTAATATTATTAATATTAAGTTAGTGTATTGCTATAAAATAACAAAAATTTTAAAAATTTAATAGAAAAGTTTATGTACTTTTTAGTTTTATTGAAACCAAAGCATTTACACTTGCTTTATTGATTTTAAGCTAAAATAATTTAAGAATCAGTTATAAAGCTAATAACGTAATTTGTCGAGGTTTAAAGGTAACGTTGCATTTTGATCTTTTTACAAAACTTGTTGTTTATTTAACAAGTGCTGACGGTGGTGGAGGAACAGTCAACGTAGGTAATGGTAGCATCTTTGGCTACGCCAACAGCAGTGTTTGGTTCCAAGACGGTGAAGGCCTTGGTGGCTAGATCAACGTGGTTGGCGTCGCATCCTGGGCACTTGTCGGTGATTGGGAAGGAAGCACTAAAGTGAATTTGATGGGCTTGTATTTACAGTCATTTTTAATACGAATAGTAAAAAGGTATGACAAAGACAAGACGACTATCAAGCTAAAAACCACAGTATAACATACGTTTTGCCATTGTATTGGATCTTGACGCACTTGTCCTCGCAAACTGGGTCTTGGAGAACATATACACCTTGAGCATTTGGACCCCAAGTACTGGTGGGAGTGAACAAAGAAGCAGATACGGCGGCGTTACATCCAGTCAAAGGCAAGCCACAAGCTCCGGAGCCAGAGGCATCGTAGTAGGTGAACTCACCGCCAGTAATTGGGTTGTTCAACTTTGGAGTAAAGTTGTCGGACACGACTACGGTAGCCAAAACACACAAAACAAAGACCTTCATTATGAGACAAGAACAACAATGTTGTAATGATGTTCATGTTGTTGTACATGCTCTTTTATACTGACTCAGGCAACAACTATCTGAAGCATTTGTGAACAATTGGGTCGCGTTGTGGCATCTGTGTACACATTCAACACAACTTGAATCGAACCATAGGTGTGTCGACAGTTATTTTGGTTTCTGACTTGAAAGTTTTAAGTTTGAATAATTCTTGGCAAAAAAACTTATGAATAATATTACCTTATGAGTCAAGCAACTTGGGGTCAAAAAGTTGAACGTTGAAAATATTGTTGTATGCACAGCTGCTTTTACCGGATTTAGCATTAGATTGGTTTGACTTTCCATCTCTAATCAAGTTTTCATCTCTAATCAATTCAAATCATCTAGCATGATCAATAAAGAAACCATGAGGTCAGGCACTCCAACATCGTTCATTTCAACGTTATTTCTAACGTTCTTTCTGTAGAGTCTTGTGCAGAAAGTATCGCGGTAGAGTAACTCATTCAAACATTACCTGAGTTTTTTACTGGAAAAATACTCCATCAAATAAATATTTTAGTTCACCAGGAAAAAATACGGAGTCAGATTATTTTTCCCGGGGAATTATTTTACCGGTGAAGTTTTAGTCCGGTGAACTATACTGAAGGCAGAAAGTTTTGACCCCCTATCTAACTTGACTGTGAGGGAACCGATCGGGACCAAACTTGGTATATAGTTTATTAACAACCTAGTAACAACACACACGGACCAGGACTAAATTTCTGCCTTCAGTTTTCCCGGTGAACTTTTTTTTCTGGTGAAGTATTTTTTTCGGTGAAGTATTTCTCTGGTGAACTATTTTTAGCGTTTTTCCAGTGCACTGTTTTTCTGGTGAATTATTTTCCCGGTGAAGTATTTTTACGTTGAAGTATTTTCCCGGTGAAGTATTTACCTGGTGAACTATTTCTTTGCTGCAGTATTTTCCAGTGCACTGTTTTCCTGGTGAAGTATTTTCCCGGTGAAGTATTCCTTTGTGCAGTATTTTTCCAGTGTACTGTTTTCCTGGTGAAGTATTTTCCTGGTGAAGTATTTTCCCGGTGAAGTATTTTCTAGGTGAAGTTTTTTCCCGGTGAAGTATTTCTTTGGTGAAGTATTTCTTTGGTGCAGTATTTTCCCAGTGCACTGTTTTCCTGAAGTCTTTTCACGGTGAAGCATTTTCCCGGTGAAGTATTTTCCCGGTGAAGTATTTCCCTGGTGAACTATTTCTCAGGTGCAGTATTTTCCCAGTGCACTGTTTTTCTGGTGGATTATTTTAACGGTGAAGTGTTTTTCCGGTTAAGTATTTAACCGGTGAAATATTTTTCTGGTGAAGTAACGTGAAGTAGTTTATTTTCTGCTTGTATTCAATTTTTTGCCTAACTGAGTGATTGTTAATTTACCATGTAGTATACTTACTGCTTACTGATTTTTTTGTTTTGGCAATTTATTGTTTTGAAATAAATACTTTGTAACTGAAACCTTTTTGGTTTGTATTGTTGCAATTTATGTTTTTCTATATTTTTGCTTTGTAAGTGCAAGAAAACTGTCAAAATAGCGACAAAACGGATCTACGGCTTTGTGTAAGGTTATTTTTTGCATTTATAGTTTAACAGTCTGTGTTTACTGTACCGTGAAAACATTTTAGTACGACCCTCAATAATATGACACCCTTTTTATAATAACAGCTTCCTGACTGTTCTTTGCATATGTACAACAGTTCTCGCTGGTTATTTCAATTACTATTAGATTAGTTTTGTCATAACAAGATTATACTATCAAATCTGTCATATATGTATACCCACTGGTTGTCATATATCTGCTGGTTCTTTTATACATACTCGGACTTCTATACCTACTGGTTCTTATTGACTATGACTTACCCAATATAAAATTGAATTTCATTTTTGAAACGTTTACTAAATACAACACTAAACTTTTAAACAATCTTTCAATAAGTCAAAAATATGATAATATGATCTATTTGCACTTTTATATTCTGTTTTTATACTTTCCAATCACCGAAGCACTTTCGAGCCGGCCAAAGGCTAGCAGCTGCTGAAACAAACAAAAGTCGAGGCTTTGTTGGAGTTTGTAATCTACAGTCTTTCGGCTTTGAATACGATCACTGTCACCATATCTTTTTGTTTTTAATCGCATCCCCGTTCACGCGGTTCAAAAGTTTAATCAACTTGCCCTGAAGGCACTCTGTATGTACAGCCGATAAGACCCTAGAACGGATTTAGCATCCAGCCATCTATAATCGCTGCCCATGGCTAGTATAAAAGCGGCCGTTGATAAGGTGGATCATCAGTTGTTTCGAAGTGTTCTTGTATCAATTGTACCAGTTGAGGAAAGATGACCGCCTTGTACTTGTTGGCCGCCGTTGTTGTCTATGTTGTTGCTGACAACATCACCCCCGAGTTGAACACTCCAATCAGCGGTGGTGAGTTCACCTTCTACGGCTACGGTACCGACAGTGCTGGTGCTTGCGGTATTGATGTGACCAACTGCTCAGCTGCTGTTTCTGGATCTTTGTTCACTTCTGGAGCCGCCTGGGTACCATCTGACCTGCCTGATGGTCGCTACATCTTGGACGACCCAGTCTGCGAAGGAATCTGCGTTCAAATTCAATACAATGGCAAAACGTAAGATAATGTCATGATTATTATCTATGGCTTTTATCTTGTTAGGATGAAGAAGATGGGGCAATACTTCAGCTTGTTGGTACCAATGCTAAAGCCTATAGTACCAATTACAAAACTATGAAATTTTAATTAGAAAAACCTAAACTAATATTATCTTTTCAGTGGAGTCTTCCCAGTCAACAACGAATGCCCAGAATGCGAAGTCAACCACGTCGACCTCACCACCGACGCTTTCTTGCTTTTGGAGCCAGCTGGTGGAACCGTAGGAATTGCCACTAACGCTACCATCACCTACTTGTTCTGCAACCAGACCACTCCATCCACCTGTTAGACAACATCAATTTACGAAATTGAACCATAGATTAGCTTGAATAAATTTTGCATGTAATCTTTTGCTTTTTGCACTTTAGTTTGTATGATAAGGCTTAAATTAAAAAACAAAGATGAGTTTAATGGTTATAATGGCACCTTAATCTAGTCCCTTCGTGGGATAGTAACAGGATGAGCTGTTATTTTAACAACTACAAAGAGCAAATAGTTTGTACTACACAGTTCGACAAATGGATAGCTACATTTTGAAATTTAGTGTTAATAAATATCATTATAAAATTTGTTCTTACTATAAAAACCATGTGATAGTGATCTGTTAACCATCTATAAGTTCAGAAAAAAATACATTGAACTTGCACTTCTTATCGATTTTGTAGTAAGTATTTAATGCGGTTATCTTTGTAAACGCTAAATCTTTGTAACCATGTAATAAACCCTTTTCACAAATAATCATACAAAGCTCTAATTAGAATTCTCAAATTTAAAATTTCTAGCTTTGACGTTTTTTGGTGCCGTTCCAGCTTCGGAGCCTGACCTAACCGAGAGTCATTATGTAATAGTAGCAGTTAGTCTTTTTATCCTCCAACCTGAGTCTTGTTAAAGCAGACTTAATTCAAAGCAACTCCGACTTTGTATAATTCTTTTATTATTCCTTTGAAGAGCTACTAGACACTAGCAGGCCTACAAAGAATCAAACTGGTCAGTATTGGCCTTTCTTCGTTAATTAATCGCCATCTTCTGTCAAAAGACGCAAGGTCTGACCAAAACAATTAGAACTAAAATTTGAGAGTTTCTACCTCCGGAGTTTATAAGAAATATGGTTTTAATTACTGATTGAAAATTTATTCAAATATTTTCAGTACGGATATATGTAAATACTTTTGGTTAGCAGTGCGTAGCAGAGAAACCATTTTCAAATATTGAAAGTTCAGAATTTCTTTAATAAACAGATTAACAAGGTCGCATATCCCTGTTAATATGTGCAAAGCAAGACGTATATAACAAAATGAATTGGGCAGCAATAATTTATTCTAAACTACAAGATAAGTTAACAATCAAAGGCATCTTTCCCGACTTCAGATGTTTAGCAAGATACTTCTTCGGTGGTGGTAGCAGCAGCGGCAGTAGTAGTAGCTTCAGCAGCAGCAGTGGTAACGCTGGAGGCAGCAGCAGAAGTGGCACTAGAGGCGGCAGCGGAAGAAGCGGCAGCAGAAGCAGCACTGGAAGCAGCGACGGTGGTGGCAGCACTGGAGGCGGTGTTTGAGGCAAGGGTAGTTTCAGAGCTGGCAGATGACGAGCTTCCGCACGAGGAGACGGTGGTGGTGTTACAGAAGACGTAGGTGATGGTGGCTCCGTTGATCAGGCCAGAAGTGTCGTCAGCTGGTTGAATGTAGGCGAAAGCGTCGGTGGAGAGGTTAATTTGATCATCAGCACAGCCTCCGCATTGGTTGTCAACGGGGAAGACTCCACTGAAAAATAGGCGACATTAACATTGGCATTGTGAAGTACGGGTTCTCACCGTAATTTCATGATTCTTTGTATCAATATCAACTTAAAATGAGTTTTAGATGCTCAAGAAAACATTTGTAAAATATAATAAACTCACGTTACTCCTTCGTATTCAACTTGAACGCAGACGCCTTGGCAGACTGGATCGTCGAGGATGTAGCGGCCGTCGGGCAAGTCAGAAGCTACCCATGAAGCTCCAGGAGTGAACAAAGAGCTTGGGGCTCCAGCTGAGCATGAGGCAATGTCTAAACCACAAGCACCCTCACCAGTGGCACCACTCACAGTCAACACACCGTTGCTGATTGGCTGGTTGAGTTGGGAAGAGATGTTGTCAGCGACGACCAACGAAGCCAACACGACCGAAAGGTAGAATGCGTTCATCTTTGTCCGAAGGAACTTGAGAATGTGATGTTGACAGTCACCTTAGGCAGGCTTTTATACTACTTCGGTATCCATATTTGGCTATTTTTTCGGCGTAAACCTAGCTATCCCACACCAACTAATCATACAAACGGGGTTTATCCGCAGGTGACAAAATAAACAATTCGATTAGTACTTCCGAGTCAATACGAAAATATGAAGCATGGATTCAAATCACAAACATTCACATATTATAATATCTACATAACTTCTACTCTGTGTTCTTATTATACTATTCATAGCTGTCACAATTTTATGCACGGCCTACATGGATAATTTTATATAAGTTTTGTTTAACGACATTATATAATAGAATAAAAAGTAATTTGAAAAAAAAGACAAATTAAAATCTTTTTGAACATTTTGGAGTTTACAACATTTCTGTGTTTTATCACGTTTAAGATTTTATATTTTGATTCGGCTTCATTATCGTACATATTTATGTTATTTTTCAGTTTCCAAGCTTACGTCCGCAAAAAACTATGACATAACATACATTTGGCTAATTTCAAAAATTTTTAAATGTTTTTCACTTTATATTCATCACATTACGAACGTAAAACAATATTGTTCAGTTTTGTTATCTTCTCCGGATTGTGTTTTTCCTTGTTTTTGCAATAATTTCCAATTTTTTTCGTTTTGCGAACTGCAGACGAAGTTACGAGCAATGTTTATTATACGATATATAGTTCTTCCCTAACTTTTTATAATAGCAACTGTTTTCAATTATGAGAATGTAAAACACTTAAACATCTAGTCTTGTTCTTATATTGTAATATTTTATAACTTTATACATTTTTGTATGTATGATACAGTTAAACATCTTTAGTATGGCACTCAAGAGAGTGATCCAAAGCTGTCCTTATACCAAGATGTCACACTATCTTGGTAATTTTTGATAGGAATTCTATTATATTATATTATAAAAAGCGTTCCGAAAGATATCATTATAATGAGGATGCAATCCGGATGTCATACTAACGAGACCTATACTACAGATTTCACTGTACTAACATACATTTAATTTTCAATTAAAATACTATAACAATATGTATCTGAAATTTAATTTAAGGGCATCTTTATTTTCACGATTGATTAAATTTAGCATGTTCCAGAAGCTTTAGTGGTGGCTGAGCCTGAAGCTGCAGCGGCAGTGGTGGTGCTGGCGGTGCTGGCAGCGGCGACAGTTGAGCCAACCACGGCGGTACCACTGCAGTCGGTGGGGGTGGTTTGGTTACAGAACAAGTAGGTGATGGTGGCATCAGTGGCGATTCCTACAGTTCCTCCCAAAGGCTCCAAGTATAAGAAGGCGTCGGTGGTGAGGTCGACGTGGTTGACGGCACATTCTGGGCATTCGTTGTTGATTGGGAAGACTCCACTGTAATATAGGTGGTTTTATTATGTTTAAGTTGTAAAAAAAGCTTTTGACGTCTATTTCAATATAGAAACATATGTCTACTACAATATAAATTATATTTTTCTTCAAATATTCTCGTCTAAACCGCAACAACACTCACGTCTTTCCTTGGTACTCGATTTGAACGCAGATACCTTGGCAGATTGGGTCGTCCAAGATGTAGCGGCCGTCAGAAAAGTTAGATGGTACCCAGGCGGCTCCAGAAGTGAACAAAGTACCAGAAGCGGCGGCCGAACAGTTGGTCACATCCAAACCACAAGCTCCCTCACTGTCGGTACCGTAGCCGTAGAAGGTGAACTCACCACCGCTGATCGGGGTGTTCAACTCGGGAGTGATGTTGTCAGCGACAACATAAGCAACAACGGCGGCCAACAAACACCAAGCGTTCATCTTTCCTCAACTGGAACAATGTGTGATACCTCCTACTACACATTGTCGGCTTTATATAAGGCTTATGGCTTCGGAAAGGCAAGGATTGTTACCGGATTCAAGCTCAAATTCTAAAATCTGGTCGGCTGTTCATACAATAGGGTTGGTTTTCCGTTGACACAAGGTTGGTATGTGCAAACTTTGGGACAAATGCTATAATAACTTATAGCAAAATTTGACAGTTTTAAAAGAGTTTTGGTTTACAGTACTATAAATTCGTTTGTTTACTCTTAAAATGGTTCCGCGTCAATTGTTTCTTTTATTTGAACTTATAATACAAGGAAGGTGCACGACGTGCCGCGCTCTGAGTTACTTCAAACTTTTCTATATTGAACTATCATATAAATGTAACACTTTTAGAAAAGTACTGCGCTTTTCAGTAAACCTCAAGAAATTCGAGATTAAAAAATTAGGTTTTGGTCTTGTGGTCAAATTGGCATTGTGTTTCAAGCTTATAAGTTTGTCATTTTTAAAATTTTGATCGTTTTTCTTTAATATATTAATAGAAAAGATGCAAATTTTAAAAGCTTTCAGCATATATTGGCCAGAAAGTCGAAAAAAGCGCTTGAAACACATTGCCAAATTTGCCAAACGAGCGGGAAACTCAAATAATTAAAAATTTAAAACTCAAAGCGCAAGCTAAAATTTTTTATGGGTACTACTAGTTATATAAAAACTCCATAAAAACTTTTGAATTTATTCGGATGTGTGTGGGGCAGTTCGGGTAGTTTTCTTGTAAGATGGAACTTTTTTTATCCATCATAGTCAACATAATTTTAAAATATTTAAACTAATAACCATGAATTAATGCCCAGTTTATTTCCGTTTATTTCACTTTAGATATAGTAGATTTGCCACTGATTTCCCAGTCGTATAGATCGTCCATATTGACTCCAGCTGCTTTGGCGGACTGAAATTGAGGTCATTAGTCTAGCCAAGTTAAAAAAATCGCTACTTATATCCTATAACAACCACTTATAGATCAAAAACAACAATTTATAGACCTAGAACCACTGTTTTTAGTTCTAGAACAACTACTTATCGACCTAGATCAACGACTTGTAGGCCTAAAATAACTATTTATTTACATAAAACAAGTACCTATAGACCTAGAACCACTATTTATTGTTGTAGCACAATTACTTATATACCTAGAACAACAACTTATAAACCTAAAACAACTCAAAATCCTTACCAATCCAAGCAGATTGTAAATGTAGCTGTAATCCACAATCTCATGGTACTTGACTTCCTTAATGTAGCCGAAAATTTGATTCAGTAGCTCTTTAAACTTCAGTTCAGAATAGACCAGACAAAAGGATTCACGGAGTTCTTCTTTAGACTTTCTGACCGCATGTTTATCCGCAATCTTCTTCCACGGTAATCCTTTGGCTACTAAAATGTCCAGTAGCAAGTAGAACCACGATTCAACATCATCAATTGGGCCTACGTCGTGTCCCATGTGGCAACTTATTGAAGCGAACCTAACCGTGCCTTTGAAGCCAATTCCTTCACGTGGAGTCTTTAGTTCACCGTCGTTCTTCACAAACTTCCGAGCGATTCCAAAGTCGAGGATGTAGATCTGGAATGGTAAAACGTCATACCACAGAACAAGGCCAACATTTTTTTTTAAAACTTTTTAAAATTTTCTTAATTTTTCAAAATTTTAATCTCCAAAGCCCTTACAACATGAGCCTGTTCATCCAGTCCAACAGCATAATTAGCCGGCTTGATATCCCTGTGGACGAATTTGGCATTGTGTAGCTCCTCCACTGCCTGAAGGCATTGTTGACCCACGCCTAGACCAGTCGCCGTACTGAAGACTTTTTCCGGTCGACCAGCTTTTAAATCGGACAAAGACTTTCCGACCAGTTGCATTACAATCAATGTATACGTGGGCTTCTTGGCTCTGTCGATAATCTCCGTAAAGTGCGACACTTTCCCTCTAAAAATGGTAAAATTTTAGCAAAAATTTTTAAAAATACCTAAAAATTTAAAATTTTGATAAATTTTTGAAATTTAAAAAACTTCTAGTGCTTTGAATAGCAATTCCACCTTTTTTAAAATTTTTTTTCAAAAAAAATATCAGTTAACAATGAAAGTGCTTCTTGAACTGCGCCGCTTTGATTGACTTCAAACTTTATATATAGAAAGATCATGTAAATATAACACATTCAAAAAGGTACTGAATCACGCTTTCCAGTAAATCTCGAGAAAATTGAGATAAAAAATTACTTTTTGAATTTCCCGCAAAATTGGCATTGTGTTTCAAGTTTATAACTTTGCCATTTTTGACTTTTAATCATTTCTCCTTAATATACTAGTAGAAAACCTTTAAATGCACCTACTTTTTAAATTTGTAAGCGTAACACGTCTGGAAAGTCAAAAAAAGTGCTTGAAACACAATGCCAAATTTGCTGAATTGGCGAGAAACTCAAATATTTAAATTTTAAAACGAAGTCAAGCTTTATAAACATCCCAAAATTTTAAAAAATCATACTTTTTGCGTTCATCAGCCACAGCCTTCAGGATGGCGATCTCCATTTTGAGTTTACTATGCTTTCGAGTTTCCAGCTTCTTCTCTACTTTCATCGCGTAAACTTTTTTGGGCTCGGATTCGGAATGGACCTTGAACACGGCTCCGAAGCCGCCTTCGCCGAGCATGTTTTCGACTATGTAATTGCCTTTGGCTGCACTGATTACCATGTCCTGAAATCATTGATATCTCTGAACGGCCTTATCTTTGAACTTTTGATAAAAATTGAAAAATAGGTAACAAAGTGAAGCTTTTTTAAAAATAGGTACTAGCGTAGATCTTTTGTAAAAGTAGGTAACTGAGTAGACCTTCTTTAAAAATAGATATTTAAAATTATAGGTTTAATACTTTCAAACTCACAGCTTTAATGCCAAGATCATCTTCTTCGGTAGAGGTCATGTTGAAGAGACAGTGAAGCCGGAAAAATACGACCGGTAAAGACTGAGCGCAATGATAAAGCAAGCTGAAAACCGCAAAATTATTTTACACATGCAAAGTTTGGAAAGCTCTACATCAATGGGAATCTTGAACTTGCAGAAACAAAACTTTCATAGCTAAAATTTATTCAGTTTACCATCATTGATGTAGTAAACAAAGCAATGTTATGCTAAAGCAGGTTTTTAATTTTTAGTTTTAAAACTTACAGTATAATCGACCAAATTCTTTGTCAAGTTGGCAAAATTTGGCATTGATTCAAGCATTTTTTTGCTGCTACGGATACTATAACAAGACCATTTTTCCAATTGACCTTTGTTTTGTTGAGCTATGACAAATGTTGTTTTGATTTTCAATTCTTGTAATTAAATTCTGACTAATAAAACTAATCCTGATCAGGCAATTAACAACAAATTTTAGCTTTTGTTTTTGAACTTTTAAACTGTTTGGTCATCTTTGTTTTCAAAACATGGTTAATATAAAAACAGAATATTTTTGACAAATGTTATACAATGTTAAAACCATTTAACATGAAGTGTTGTATCTTTGTATTCTTGTTGGTAGCTGTGGCTGTAGCTGCTCCTATAGAAAACGTAAGTAATTTAGCATAGCTTTTATATATAATATGATAAAAATAAAGCAAACAACACCTTTTATAATAGTCGAAAAAGTTGTGCTAGGACAGTTTCATCAAGCTTATATAAATTTTTTAAATTTGTAAACGCTGAGATGTTATGTGTCAAATATTCTGAAAATTTCATGATTCAGCAACCTCAAAATGAAGACGTCGAAACGTTTGTCGCTCCACAGGCTGCCAATGTTCCTCCAACTAACGAAGGTTCCACCGGTTCTAACGATGGTCAAGTTGTAAGTCAATTCATAAGCATTCAAAATTTTTTGTGTTTTTTCAACATAAGATGTATATTTTGTGACGTGAGGGAGATAGTAAAGGTTTTGATGAAGACTGTCAAAGCAATTCATTGTAGCGGTTCCCAATGGGCCGTCATCTAGGTGATTCTGTTTCTCTAGCTACCCCGAGCATTAGAAACGTATAGTTTTAAAAGTTGTTAGTTGAGCGGTGGGAGATGTTGAATGGTTATTTTATAAAGTAGATGATGCTTGAGAAGATTATTCATCAAAAAAGTTTAAATTTTTTTTTAAATTGTTTGATCATCTACCAACATTATATTTACAGATCAGCGACCCACTCCTCCCGGCCCCACAGCCTGTACCTGAACAACCACAGCAACCTCAACAACCTCAACCTGCCCAGCCCCCAGTGCCCCAACCACCGCCACAGCCACAGCAGCCTCAACAACTTCCACAGCCACAACCCCAGCCACTTCCAGTGCCACAACCACCACAACAACCCCAACAACCACCACAGCCACAACCCCAGCCACTTCCAGTGCCACTTCCAGTGCCACAACCACTACCACAGCCACAGCAACCCCAACAGCCACAACCACAGCCCCAAGTTCCTCAACAACCACAGCAACCACAAGTAGCCCAACCACCTCAAGAGCTACCAGTCGACGGCTACAACTACCCCAATGAACCAAGCCAGCCTCATTTGATTGTGCCAAACAATGATCCAGCCAATCTTTTGACACCACAGCCTTTGGCAAGCAACAACTACGTCTACCCCAACAACCCGAATGCTAACGCTCAGCCTGGTCTGAAGATTCCAGTTGGAAACTGATCGTATTGATCATGCCATGTGCTAAAATTATATTATTTTAGTTCATAGTGGACTATAATAGTTCATAATGAACCATATACAATAACATAAGCATACAAATTATATCTTTGATATTTTATATGTTTTATATTTTACTTTGCGCTTCACAATCAATACAATAAACAGCATACCGTATGTTTTAGTTTTATCATTACTTGCTATAACATTTGTCAGGTAAAGGTTAGACTTTTGAGAAAAGGGTGGGGCAGAAAAAGTTGATATTGAGTGAGAGTTGGAGCTCACACCTTGTGGATATGGCATATTTTATAGATGAGGAGAATCCTTTCTTCACTTACACTTGAGCCTTTTACTTTGTCATTCTCTTTTCTTAGCTTTTTTTCTACGTTTTATTAAGTTGTTCAAATACTTCTGTGCCCTCTAAATCCGAAAATTTGCTTAAAGATGGAGCACAGAATTATTTGAACTACCTATTATATTGAGCATACCCTACTTTAACTTTTTTACATTTACCTTCCTCATTACAAAAAGGTCTACTCTCTCTTTCTCCTTTCTCTACTAACTTGACCTTTTTCAACATACTGTAACTTTATAATAATACTGTAATATTAACCTTACAATACATTATATTATTTTATCTTTTACACTATACAGACTTTAGCATATATATAATATCGTAGTATTAACCTTGCCATAACGTACATTCGTTTACCTATTATACAAGTTCAAAACAGTCCACCATATTATTGACTGGTAACTCCCGAGCCAAACAAGTTTCTTTTTTGCAATTTTAAAGCGGTAAAATCATAACAAAGAGGTTATTCTTGGTAAAACTTTTTTTGTTTTTCCTTTTTTTGATAAGTCGTTTTGACTTCCGAATTTTGAAAAGTTGCCTTTTGAGGTGGGAAAGGTTATTGTTGTAGTACAGTAAAAATTGAACTCTATTAAGAAGGGAAAGTATTAAAGTGTATCAAATGTGACTATAGTTATTGTGTTGGTCTTGAGTGTTACTCCCTGTATAATATAATTTGACACGTGAGGGGAAGGTGAGGGTTTGGTAAAGGTCATCAGAGCAATCTACTGTAGAGGTTCCCAATTGGGCCCCATCTAAGTGATCCTGTTTCTTAAGCTACCGAATTGTGATAAAGTGCTTAGTCAGAAGCTGGTCTAGAATAAGCAAACGATTTGCCATAATATCCGTGCACTTAACGCGTCTCACTCTTCTGTAACTTATAAATACGCTTGACTCAAGCAGAGCTACTGTTGGTATAAATTTTGAAAAATGTTTTTATTGACCTTTTTTTGTTATTGATTGTACAGTACTCAATAAATCACTATATATAATCATCCGGAAGGGCCCGACATTTTGCGTTTACTATACGGAGTGTATCTCTTTACAAGTGCAAATTGACTTGGCGGAGCTAAATTTCTTACTTACTATAATGGAGTTGCTTATAGAAGTAGTTCACTATGTAGAAAGATCAATGTAGAAGCTAATCAATATGTTCAATCAATTTTTATCTATCGAGCTTCCTTAGTATGACACTCAAGAGACTACCTCGGGTAACATTATAAGAAGGGTGTCACACTATCCAGGTAATTTTTGACAGGAACTATTAAAAAGGGTCTTAAGAAAGGCGTTATGGTAAAAGGGTGTCGTATTACCTGGATTTATGCTAAAGAAGTTAATGTACTTCGAACTAGAGCTTTAACTCAAATTTTTTAAAAAAGTCCAGAAGGAGCTGAAATATTGAAAATAAAAATTTCGGTCCTAATCCTTAAAGTTTACTCAATCTTAAATGCCATTTACTCCCTTAATTTACGTCACTTTTCCTACTTTTTCGCCATAAAAAGTGTAAATTAGGTAACGGCTTCTTCCACAAACAATATTGTAACTTTTCTTAAAGGTCAATAAACTCGCTTCCATTACCATGAATCAAGCCCTACAGAATTCGCTAAAATTGTGATAATTTTACACTAAGACTAGAAGAACTCGAATTGGCCGAAAGAAGCGAGTTTGAACGCCTTTGGTTGCGCGCTTTAAACTGGAAATAATATTACAAGGTAACATTACATAATAACACTACCGGGTCAAAACAGCAGCGGCTATTCGTTTAATTTGGCTTGGACAGTGTTGCCAATAGTTATTTAGGTTTGTTAAGTATTTGCGATGGGTTTTAGGTTTATTTTAACCAATTTTTATTTCATATACATATTATAAAGTTGTCATGCTGGTTACGTACTTTTTGGTAAGGCTTCTATTACAACATACATGCAAAAAGATGTCACTATAAAGAAGGTGTCATACTATGAAATATCATACTAAAGACTTACATTGAATTCTCTGTAGTATGCTTCTCAATAGTGTAGCATCTTTTTTATAGTGACAGCTTTTGACCGTTTTTTATCATTGAACTCTTATCAAAAAGTACCTAGTTAGTGTGACACCCTGGGTGTAAGGATAGGTTTGGACCAGTCTCTTGAGTGTCATACTAAAGAAGTTTGACTGTATTTTTATTTTTATATTGTACAACTGGTAAACAAGTATACAGGAGTTTGTAATGCACTGTGTAGCTTTAGAAACAGAAATTTTAAAGTTGTTTGATTTACAGGATGTTTGTTATAGAGGGCTTTGTTGAAGTAAGGTTTGTTATATAAGTTAGATAGGGGTCAAAACTTGATGCCTTCAGTATACTAGAGTCTCACTGTATTTTCAATTAAAGGCACTTAACGTTTTAACTATCTTAAGCCACTTTGATTGAAAATTTAGTTTTTATACTTTCGATTTAAATTTAAGCGTCGGCAAAGGCTCGGCGGTCGCTTAGTCATCGACAATCTCAACAAAAATCCATGAAACAAAAACTTTTTTTATAACATATGTATTAATATGTTATTTTTTAAAATATTTTAATCAAAAGTAATTTTTAAAGCAAAGCTTTTAATTTTTTCACAAGTAACACTTCTTTTTAAAGCTCTAAAGCAACTACAATAACACCCTTTTGCTTTTACTATACTTTTAAAGATTGTTATTCTGAAATATTCAATTATTTTTTACTGTAATTGCCTAGACGATTTCAAGAATTCTACTATTTATAATAAAACCAGAGAGTTCTAAAAGTAAATACTTCTACTATAATAGAGGCAAAGAGGTCTACTATAATATAAACGTAAAGTGTTGTGATCAAAAAGCAAAATTTGATGGTTAATTTTTTTACTGCGCAATTATGAGACGAGAATTTCCACGCATTTTTAAACTTTTTGAACGAACGTGAGCGAACGTTCCAAAACAACAAAATATTGTTATGGTGTTTGGATAGACGTGGTATAGGTTAGGGTTGTAAGGTAGAGGTGACAGGTCAAGAAACCAGACAGTGTTTGGGTTTTAGCTTTAAAAATTTCAGCTTTTAACTTGTAAAGTTTTTTAAGATTAAAAAATGTTTTGTACTATGTTGTAGTAGCCGTAGAACCTTTGAAAATGTATTTATTAAAGTTCGCAGAAAGTTTTGTCGCTTTTTTCCGCGTAAAACTGTTTCAAATAACGACAAAACTTTTTGTGAAATTTTAAAATTAGTGAAAGACACGCAAATCAAATATTTGTAGGTGCAAAACCTTGTGCTGGGTTACCAAATGCTCCAACAAACAGCCATATTATGTATGATAGTAAGTGTAATCAATGGTCAGTTTATCAGCCCTTCAAAATGGCCAAGTAACGCGAATAGGAATCGCCGAGACTTGATAACAAATCTACCTGGCCTAACGTTTCAACCCAATTTTGACAGTTTTTCCGGGTATCTGCGAGGTGTTCAAGGTCATAACTTGCATTATTGGTATGTTTTAAATAACATAATGATCAAGATTTTTAACTTTAAAAATTAAAAAAATATTTTTTAAACATTGGTTTGGTTTAAACATTGAGGTAAACATTAAGTACGTTAGATCTGATAATGAAGCTGGATTTTAGGCTAGTAGAATCTCAGAATGACCCGGTTAGAGATCCTCTAATGTTCTGGTAAGATTTATGTCAGTTTTATATTTTTTAAATATTGTTGACTGTCGTTACAAACTATCTCGTTATAAAAGCCGCTTACAAGGACAGTACCCAACCTGCCGCACTCTTAATTTTTATATGAATCCTTCGTACCACCAAATAATACCCAAAAAAAAGTTTTGAACTCCCGCTTTCGAGTGTTAAATTTTAAAAGTTTGGGTTTTTTCACCAATTTCACAAATTTGGCATTGTGTTTCAAACACTTTTTTCGATTTTTCAGATAAGCTACACTTAAAAATTTAGGTTTATTTTTAAAGCTTTTCTACTAGTATATTAAAGAAAAATGGCTAAAAATTTTTAAAGAAATCAAATTATAGCTTGAAACACAATGCCAATTTGGCGGGAAATTCAAAACGTATTGTTTTGATTTTCTCGAGATTGACTGTAAAGCGCAACTTATTACTTTCTTAAAAGGCTTATATTTGCATGATCTTTTATAAAAAGCTTGAAGTCAATCAGAGCGGGGCAGGTCAGACATTTTCCTTGTTAATACAATTTTTTAAAGCTATCTTTCATTTTACATATAAGCCTATAAACCAACCCTTAAATATAATAAATTAAAAACAGGTTTAACGGTGGGCCAGGCTGCTCATCATTGGCTGGCCTACTCCAAGAAATGGGGCCATATGTTGTCGACTCTGATGGTATTCGACTGAAAATGAATCCAAACTCTTGGAATCGTGTAAGCAAATCTACTGTTTTGTATTTTAAACTGTGATTTACTTTTTTAAAAGTTTTAAATTTTGATTCTAAGACTAATATTTAATTAAGTTTGCCAATATTGTTTATTTGGAATGTCCTGCTGGTGTTGGGTTTTCCTACTCACCTGATCATAAGATGAGGACGAGTGATGAGTTGGTAAGTTACAAACTTTGATAGGAATTTTAATAACTATTTTTGACAAAAGTATTAAATTGTTTAAATAATTCTGTGCATCCTTTCAAAGCAAATGTTTGGAGTTGTTAGGCACAGAATTATTTAAACAACCTGACATATTCTACGCAATTGTGTTACCACTGGCTAATCACTAATCGTATTTTACACTAAAGTTAACTGATGACATTTTTCAGACAGCTCAAAGCAACTACGCAGCTCTGAAACACTTCTTTGCTATTCATCCAAACTTTAGACAACATAAAGTGTTTCTGTTTGGAGAAAGCTATGGAGCAGTGTACGTTAGTCTACTAGGAAAGCTCATAGTACAAGGAAGAAAAGGCTTTTCTGTTAACTTAGAGGTAGGTATTATAAGTTTATTTCTTAGTGTTTTCTGTAATAAGAGTTTAATTACGGTATTTCAGGCCCAGCCCGTTTAATTTTTTTTTCAATTTGGCACGGGCTGATCAAAAAATTTAGGGTCTGCCTGGTCTAGCCCAATTTTTGGGGTACTTAACAATTTTGTTTTTTAATTTTTATTTTGGGCTTACTTTCCTAGCCTGCAGGCCGGACTCAACTTTTAGGTCCGGTTTGTTTTAGCTTTAGCTAAATGCCAAGCCGAGTCTACACAGCCCGTTTCTTATCCCTAAGTTTCATTTAAGTACTGTTACTTAACTATAGTAGCTAATTCTAAATTAATTTCTAGGGAATCGCAATTGGAAACGGAGAAATCGACCAGCAATTGGCTGAAGAGTCGATGTACTCGTTTGCTCATGAAAATGGTTTGATACCTTCGGGGCATTTTAGGCTTATGGTTCAGGTAGAGTGAAGCATTTTTTAAGACTTAACTTTTTCAAGCAAAAATTTTGTTTATATAATAAGTTAGGTTTTTCAATAATTATATTAGGTAGTTCAATTAATTCTGTGCTTTCTAATTCTAAAAATATGCTTTGAGAAGGAGCGCAGAATTATTTGAACAAATATATTATTTCATTTGTTGTTGAGTTCACTTGAAATTAGTTCTAAAAGCTGAAATATATATATAATTCAACTTTTTGTTATGACTTTTCATTGTTACATTTTACTGTTGACGTTGCCAGACGATTATTGACATTTAGTGAAGTAAAGAAAGCTAAAACATTACTTAATGTTTAAAGGTATGTTGTAAAGGCCGCATTACTGGTTGTGTTTTCGATAAAGTGGCCAGATCATGTAGGACACTGATGAATCAAATCGATGATCTACTTGACCAGATCAACGTTTATGACATTTTTAGTGAATGTGTCGATGAGTCACACAAAATTAATGTGAGTTTTATTTATTAATGTCTTGTCATAAGTATTCTATCACTTACACTATGTATTATTGTTTTAAAATGACTTTATTTATATTATTATTGTCAATGTGCTTTCCTTGTTTTGAACGAAGGGTAGTGAGAGAACTCAGCCGAAGCCTATAAAGGGAATTGAACTTTTTGAAACTTAACATATATTGTTCATAAACTTATAATTTTTTACAGAAAATGACATTTCAGGCTCACATGACAGCACGAGAAATCCAGCCAGTAAAATGTGTAGCTGGTGCTGCTATCACAACATACTTGAATAGGAAAGACGTTCAAAATGCTCTTCATATTCCTTCTGAATTTGGCAAAAAGTGGCTTTTATGCAGGTAATTTACCTTACAGTAGACAATCGTTAGAAAAAAAACATAAGACCGGGTGTTAAAAAAGTAAAAAAGGTCTTCTTTTACTATAACAAGATGCTTTTATTGCAAACGCTTGCTATAGTAAACGTTTCATAAGAAAACATGTTCTTTGGTACTAAGCTGACAGTTCACTACTATATGAGCTTAATTTTTTGTAATTTATAGTTTACTGTCAATTTAAAATAACATTTTTGTTTAGCGATGACTTAAAATATCGAGAACAAAACCCAGACCTCACAGACGTCATAAAGGCTTTGCTACTGAACAATGTTAGGATGTTGTTGTACTACGGCGATGCTGGTAAGTGTAGAGTCTATATTATTTGAAAATAAACAATTTTTCATATTTAACATGTGTATCAGGTCATAAAATATGTATAAAATTACCTTAAAGTAGCTTCAGCCATGTTTTTATGTTAACTATCGAATTATTAGCTAAATTACTACAATGCAATGAATAGTATGAATATCTGTGAAATACTATAGCTTTTAGTTGACTAACTTTACAAAGGTCTGTTTCAGATATTGTAGTAAATTACCGTGTAGGCGAAAAGTTTTCCGCCGAGCTAGGTCTTCCAGTAATCGAGGAGAGAAAACGCTGGAGAACAAATGGCCAGATCTCCGGTTCAAAGACCACCTACTCACCTGGCCTGACATTTTTGACCATTTGGGGTGCCGGACACATGGCTCCACAATGGCGTCCACAGGAAACAGCGTATGCTGTTAGGCAATGGCTCAAAAACGCTACGATATAAAGATTGACTAGACTCGTCAGGCTTGGCGTATATATTTGTAATTATTATGGTTGTTTTTGTTGGTTTTGAATAAATTATATGAAAATATAGAATTTGATTTTTTTTGGTTTATTTTTTTGTAATTCATGGTGAATATATATAGAAAAATTTTTCGTCTTTTCAAACTAATAAATGCTGTTTTTATTGTTAAAGTATCGCAGAACAATTTTTGCAGTAATATTTACAATTTTTTTTTGATTCATAGTATCGTTACTATTCAAGTTATAGTCCTACACATAACGTAAATGTGAGTCTCACCACGAAAAAATCGCTTGCCAAAATCTTTATTGGCATTCTGTTACACGCTCTCTTTTTGCAACGAGAGCCTTTTGGCTGTGCGGGGTTTAAGGAGGCAGCGTAATGCACTCTATTGATCGCACATACAGCGTCTCTCGACCCCAAACTACATTACAACGTCGAAAGGCAACCTGAAGATATTCGACATTACCTTGTTTTTCGTGGTTTTCAGAAAAAGGAGAGCTGTTTATTTCTGTTTTCCGTTTCAACTTGTTGACGATGTTTTTTGCGAGCTGTTTCGTTATAAATTCCGTGTTTATATACTTAGTATTTATGCGATAAACACGGTTAAGTTAAGTGCATATTGTTTTAGGCAATGGGTGACAGCGAAAACTTCTTGAGAAGGCCGACCGTCCGCGGAGATACTTCGCCAACGCGTGCTGGAAAATCGGTAAGAGGGTTTGTCTCATGTGATCGGACTTTAGTTGTATTTAGAAAGCCTTTGATTACAAAAAGTTAATGTAAAGCAGACGAGACTTTAATTTCCTACAACAATATCTAAGCGAAAAGAGAAAGCGATAATATAAACAGGCTGAATTAAATCTGTAGATAAAATTTATAAAATAATCTTGTTCAGAATTCTTCGCCCCATGTCACCCCAACAAAGTATCGATCGGACGGTGGAGATCGTTTCTTGCCCATCCGTGAGACCTCATTAACTTGGTCAACAAGATATGCTTCTTTATCAGCGTCCCCATTAATGGAAAGAACAAAAGCACTACAATCTTCTGAAAATTCGAGTTTGGCAACAGCAAATCGGGAACAACCATCGCCCAACAATTCAAATCAAGGTGGAGCAGCTACGAATTCTCAGAGTAATGATGAGCAAGTACACGATTCAGTTACACATAGGGCATTGTTAAAGAACGAGCTGCTCAATCACAGTATTGTTGACATTAGAGTATGTTTTAATTGTTATTGTTTAAATACTTAGGAATTATAGATGATTTTTTCTTATAGTAGGTAACAAAATTAAAAATCTACTTTATTTTGGTATAAAATGTTTAAAGACAGCTATAGATTACTTTGGATGATTTTTTACTATTAGTTGTGGATACAAGTTAATAACGTTATGAACTTGCAATTTCAGACTAACGGTGACGGTTCAGAAGGAATGCAAGTGATGGAACGGCAGAAATCAGAAACTTTGTTACGATTTGGCCACAGAACGCCTCAAAAGTTCAACGTACTAACCTCTCACGATTCCACAATATTCTCAAAAAGCCCACTGTCTTCAGATTCTCAAAAACTATTAAAATCTCCAAGAAAACCTCAACGAAAAGTACCAAAGAACCCCTACAAGGTATTAGATGCACCCGAACTTCAAGATGATTTCTACCTAAACTTGGTTGATTGGAGCTCACTTAATATGTTGAGTGTTGGTCTATCGACTTGTGTATATCTGTGGAGTGCGTGTAATTCATCAGTGACAAAGCTTTGTGATCTGTCACAGGAAAGTGATACTGTAACATCAGTGCAGTGGACAGAACGAGGTGATTTCTTGGCCGTGGGAACGTCGCGAGGGCTGTTGCAGATCTGGGACACTCATGCACAAAAGAAGGTACATGAGTTGGGTGGACATAACTCGAGAATAGGATGTTTGGCGTGGAATAATGACACGATATGTACTGGCTCTAGGGATCGTACTATCATTCATAGAGATCTGAGACAGTCACATGTTATCGAAAGGAGGTTGAATGCTCACAGACAAGAAGTAAGTTTGAGTTATTTTTAAGCGCTAAATGTTACATAAAACTTTTACGGTGTTTACACTTAATATAGAAAAGTATTATTATATTAACACATGATTTCATATTTTCTACTACTTTTTTTACATCTAATAGCTAATTTACAGGTATGTGGCTTAAAATGGTCGCCAAACAAAGAGTATCTGGCCTCAGGAGGTAACGATAATCAGCTTTTGATCTGGTCCTTGAGAAAGAACGAGCCAGTACAAACGCATACGGAACATAATGCTGCTGTGAAGGCTTTGGCTTGGTCACCACATCATCATGGAGTCTTGGTATCAGGAGGTGGTACAGCTGATAGAAGTCTTCGTTTCTGGAATACTCTTACTGGTCAAGCTATGCAGTGCATCGAAACTGGATCTCAAGTAAGTAGTTTAGCTGAATTAGGTCTTTTGCTGAATATTTGGGTTGATTTTGATATTGTTTTAAGAGTTTTTGAATTAAAATGTTTAAGACATATCAATAATTTTTTGTCACGATTTGGCAGTTTTTGGAGTTTTTTTGTTTTTATGCTGCAAATAGACTTCACTGTCTTTATTTTAGCATATTTTGGTAAGAAACCACATTTTTAATAAGAAAAATAGTGTAATCTTGTACCAGCAATAACATAAACTCAAAAAAGATCCATCTGATGACATTTTTCTTAGGTTTGTAACGTTGCTTGGTCAAAGCATTCCTCGGAATTGGTCTCAACTCATGGCTACAGTTTGAATCAAGTTGTACTATGGAAATACCCAACAATGAAGCCCATTGTCAAACTACAAGGTCATCAGTTGAGGGTGCTCTACTTGGTAAGTAAAAAGGAGACTTTATTTTATGTTAAGAATGGTATGGAAACTAAGAATAATATCTTTTATATTGATTTATTAATAGAAATGGTATACGTTAAGATAAAAGAAGTTTTTTTTCATGACTTTCAGAAGCAATACAATTATAAGAGAATAAACAAATGTATTTTACCAACTTTTTTTTCAGGCGATGTCTCCTGATGGTGAAGCGATTGTAACGGGCGCGGGCGACGAAACTCTTCGCTTCTGGCACGTCTTCTCCAAATCGAATCTTCAGAAAATAAATCGATCGGCTTTGAATCTTCATTCTCGAATTCGCTAAATTATTTTGTACATTTTAGCCCAAGGTATACGGCATGCCTACATTAATTTTAAATATTTTGTCTATCTTGACCCATATTTTTTGAAATGACAGTGTTAAATATTTTTTTTCAAAAAAGTTGAAATGTACAAACCTATACTCCTATGGTTTACCTGGACATTACCGTCTAATACCAACAAGGTATGTTGGTATTTTGCCATTTACTTTGTATTCTTATTTTTCATAGCAGTTTCTTACAGTAACTCTAAAACCTCCCCCTCATAATTTTTTTCTTAATTTTGTTTTATCTAAAATGGTTTCTAAATTGTTAGACATTCGGCTAGTCTTCTTATAATCAAAATCGAAAATAGTCACAGGAATGGTGTGGAAACATCAACGTTTTCGTAGCGTTGTAACATAACGTCTTTTATGATTATATCAACTTATGTTATACCTATTGTAACGTATGTTTTTGTAAAAAGTATTTTCTGGAAAGTTACTTTTGGTATTCAGTCTTTCATGCTATATTTTGTTTTTCCTCGTTATATTGTTTTGAGCATGTTTTTATCAATAAACCGATAATATGACGTTTCGTACATTATTCATGAATTTTAATGGTAAATGTTAATATTATGTTAAAAATTATTCAGTAGGTTTAAAAAGGGCATTGTTTACAAGGCTAGAAACCTTTGATCATCGTCTGACAAGATCCTGTCGTACGTGTTTTCGCAAACCTTCCGTATAAAATGTTTCCCACAGCCTGCACACTCTCGGGCGCTTTTCAATTATTGAAGTTTTCTATTTTTTATAGATTTTTGTTGGAAATTCACGAAAGGCGCATCCAGAAGCTCCAATATGATGGCTGACGGTTACGAACGTTGTCTTCTGCTCAAATCTGAAGTATTCGTCTTCAGAATCCCACCATTGGGCGCAAACAAAGGACACAAGTAAGGTTTCTGTCGGTTTTTTGATTGTTTTACGTTTAGAGCCGCGGATTGGAACTTGGATCAGCCGAATTGGGTGGGAAGATTGAGGTTATTGACAGTTGATGATAAGCTCGAGATTCGATTAGAAGACAAAACTACGGGTGAGGGTTTTGAAGCGATGAATGTTGCGTTATAGACCTTTTAGTAGATTCTTTCACTTCTTTTAAATTCTTCTTGATTTTAAAAAACATATAAGCTAAATTTTAAGGTGTGTTATATGCCAAAGCTCCTATTGAATCAGCGCCAAGTGTGGATTTTGAACCAGTAACAGATTCGTCGCGGTATTTTGTTGTAAGGCTTCGAAATGATAATGGACAAACAGCTTTCGTTGGTATTGGATTTGGTGATCGAAGTGACTCATTTGATCTCAACGTAGCTGTTCAGGATCATTTTAAAGGTATTCAGAGAGATAGCGAGTTGGCTAAAGAAGATGAATCAAGGCCAAAACTGGACTTGGGCTTCAAAGAAGGACAAACTATCAATATTAATATTGGGGTAAGCGCTTTTTGTTATTACTTTTTAGTGACTTGAACGAATATGCTGAAACTTGGCAATGATTTATAGCAGGTACTGTATAATTTTATTATAAAATACGGCTTTTAATAAGTGAAAGATCGTTGAGAAGTTTGGCGTTTAAAGAACACTACAACGTTATGACATCTAAATCAATTTAGGGACTAAAAAAGTCTGAAAAATCCACTCCCCGATCAACAGGTGTATCATCAGGAGACGCTCCAGTGCCATTCTTACCTCCACCGCCATCTTCTTCGAGTCGTGTACGACGTACTCAGAACTGATGGTCTCAACGAATTTAGATATTTAAATTATTAGCACTACTCACTTTTAATGTACATTTATTTTGTCTAAATCTACTTTTTGAATTTTTTATTAGTATTGTAGTTGTAAATGGTTACTTTGAAAGTAATAAGTATAGAAGTTATGGGTATGAGTATTGCACAGTGCAGTGTTTCGGAAGATCTGCACTGTGGATTATAACACGGTTGATGGTATATTTTCGCAAAACAAGGTTTTTTGATTTAATGATATAGATGTGGATACCTTTACGATCTTAGTGGCGTTTACGGCTTTTCAGTTGGCTTTTTTAATGGTTAATATATTGTAAAACTTTAGTAATAAACAACTAATTGGTTGGTGTTTATGGTAGTTGCTTTTAATGGTCATTTCCCATGGTTTACTTTTACATTTTTTATTTTAAAATTATTTTAATTTTGTAATTTTTAAAAAATTTTAATTTTTTTGCATTTTCTCGAGTTTTTAAAATTCTTTTTGACGTTACCAGTTTAAACACATTTTTGTGCTTGAACTGGTTGATTTTTCTGACTTTTACCTGATTCGTTTGAGGCATGAGCCGGGCCTCTCTTGGAGCAGTTCAGCGTCTGAAGAAGGACTATCAGAAGATTCTGAAGGATCCGGTACCATTCGCTTTGGCCGCGCCACTCCAGTCTAACATCCTCGAATGGCACTACGTCATTTTTGGTGCTCCTGAGACTCCGTATGAAGGTATGTCGTGTAATATATCGGTCAATGATATTACAACGCTATGTTAATTTTCTTGGCTTCTATAACACCAGGTTTTTGATCTTATCTTTTCTTCTATAATATCAGGTTTTTTGATTTTTTTTGCAAAATTAACGTGAATTCTGTTTTATTTTACACTATACAAAGTAAAACTTCAATTTTTCTATTGTTATCTTAACATTGCTGCAAAAAACGTGGCTTTTTAGGTGGATACTACCATGGAAAGTTGGTATTCCCAGCCGATTTCCCATTCCGGCCTCCATCTATTTACATGATCACCCCGTCCGGTCGATTCCAAACGAATCAAAGGCTTTGCCTGTCGATTTCCGACTTTCATCCGGACACGTGGAACCCATCGTGGACAGTATCGACTATTTTGACCGGACTTATATCGTTCATGAACGAAAATGCTCCGACTTTGGGGTCGCTCAACTCTTCTGCTCAGGTAAGATTGATGGTCTTTTAATGGTTTAGGCTTGGCAAAACCAAGTTGGCATATTATAAAAATAACTAGGGGTTTGCTTGACATTTGTTGGTCATTCTTAGAGTTTTTCACAAAGTTTTGTATTATGTTAACTTAGTCTTTGTTGTTCATGATGTAATTTTTACAAACGAGCAATTAAACGTATGTTTTTTTTCAGGATCGCCGCGCTTTGGCCAAACGCTCACGTGACTTCAACCTCTCGGATCCAGTGTTTTGTTCCGTGTTCGAGGACTTGGCCAAAACATTGATGGCGGAACGAGAAGCTGAACAAACTGCCAAGTCAGCCTCGTCGCCCAACAAATCTGCTGAAGATGATGAGAAACTCTCGTAAGTTAAGGGTTTGTTTAAAGAAGGGTACAAACAACAACGTTCAATATGTTTATAAAAATGGTTATAACCATGGTTATGAAAGGAAAATTTTTTTAAAACTTTTTTTTGTTGTTTGTGCACTTCAAGTGTAATATAGGTTTTAAAGTTTGCTTATTTGCATATAGGATTATTATTTACACAAGTTTAATTTTTTTGTTTTATATCTGTAGTCTTGTATACATCTTTTTTCTTTAATTTTATTTTTTATATCGGCTATTTTTATTGGTTTTGTTAAATATGTTATACCTTTACCGCTGTTTTTGTAATTTTTAAGGCTTTTGTTTAAAAATGTCATATTTTCATTGATAATCAACAAAAATGGAATTTAAAAATGAAAACTTCAACTTTTGTCTAATCTCGATTTTCAGCTATAGGTCGCTTTGAGTTTCTGCTCAAATTGTGACATTTTTTGATAGTATTGCCACGTTGTCTGGTCATGCCTTTATCACAAATCTGTGCGAAAATTACTTAGCGTGCACAGAAAGTTCAAGCGTTGATATGTTGTCTTTCCGATGACTAGTCTTGATGTTGTTGTAGCCTTTAACAACACAAAACCTAGGAGTGTCTGGAGTGTCTTTTCTCGATGTGTCTGTCTCGAAAAAATGAGTTTTTTGTTCAGCCCTAACCCGCCCTTGTGGCCTAATTTCAGGTCGCAACAGGAAGGTCGCGAGACTTCGTCGATGGCTGCGAATCTAATAATGGTGACGTCGGTGCTGATGCTGGCGTTGGTGGTGCGGTACGTGATTGTGACGGCGGCTTCAGCGAGTGGTACCTAAAATACTGACTTTTCAAATAAAATTCAACCCAAACTCGATTGTTGTATATGTCTGAAGTGGAGTACTGTATTTTGTCCGTTACAGTGATATTTTGCTGTACTTTGTCTGTTACGGTAATATTTTGCTGTACTTTGTCTGTTACGGTAATATTTTGCTGTACTTTGTCTGTTACGGTAATATTTTACTGTTGTTGTATGTTACAGTGAGTTCGTACTGTAATATTTAAATCTTTACAGTATGTTCTTGCTGTAATGTATGCTTGACATTTTTTTAAAAATTTTTTTACAGTAATTTTTGTTTAATACAGTATCTTCATACTATAATTTTTCGATTTTTGCTGTAATTTCGATTTTTAAATAATTTCTTACGGTGATTTTTAAGAATTTTGTTTTCGGGTTTTTTTAATTTTTATTTGGTCAATGTTGTCTATACTTTACTGCGGTATATTGCCTAGATTATTGTAAATTCATTACGGTAATGTTCTTCCGAACATTGATTGGAAAAACTCTGACTGTTAACAATATTGTTTAAAGTTGATGCGATTAGAATGGCGTGTTTTGTAAGTCTAATCTCGAAAAAAGAAAAGCATTAGGCACGCCATTCTTTGTGCATCGACTTGACTGGTCTTTACGGATTATACTGTTTATGGTAATATTGGTTTGTCGCGTTTGATGGTTAACTAAATTTGTCTTATAAGTTGTAACACGTTGGATAATATCACGAGTGAACAAACACAACATCATCAAATGTCTAATGTCGAAACGTGATACACATGTACATTTTATACATTGATTTATATATAAATTTGTATACAACAGCGATTGGAAGGAGAATTGATTCAAATACTAACAGATTTTTCAGTTCTGTCAATACATAACTTTTTTTTTGAGTAACTTACATTAGCTTTTATAAAGTTTTTAAAAGTTTCGGTCACTTATCCGAAACTTTTTCATTATGTTTCGAGCTTATAACAAGAGTTTATGCCACTTCTAATGCTCTTCTTGAAGTTAAAACCTATGAAAGTGGTCCTAAAACATCGACCAGTATGTGTGGCGTTGGTGTTCTTGGCCATATTGGCTGTGTTTTACATCGGACGAATAAGCGGCCCGGACAGTTCATGTAAAGAAGTTGTCAACAGCCTTCAGCAACCTCAAACTCATGAAAAACCAAAAAGTTTCTTGCTTATCTTGATCATGAGCTCTCCAGGTAATTGTTGGCTTCAGGTTTTTAAAATAATTTTTGGTGATCTTGAAATGGGTATACCTATTTGTTGATCTTTTCGTTTTGAGAAAATCGAAAAATGTTTCACAAAAAATTTTTAAACTGACCAAGATGAAATTGCAGCCGAATGGACAGAACGCCAAACAGTACGCTCAACATGGATAAAGTCTGCCTCATCACATGATGTTAAGTATCTATTTCCAATTGGCACAAAATCGTTATCTAAAGATCTATTTGATAAACTGGACAAAGAACAAGAAAGATATGGAGATCTAGCTTTCATCGACAAATTAGAAGAATCCTTTGACAATTTGGCCAAGAAAACCGCATTTTCAATTGAAATTGGCGTCAAACTACACGACTTCGAGTACGTGTTGAAGACTGATACTGATTCTTTTGTACAAATCGGTCGATTGATCAAGGCCATCAAGGATGTCGCTCATCCGATGTTGTACTACGGCTTCTTGGACGGTCGCGCAAAGCCCTTTAGACGAGGAAAGTACCGGGAAAAAGACTGGGTACTCTGTGACAGATACCTTCCATACCATCTCGGGGGTGGATATGTTTTGTCATACAATCTGGCAGAATATATAGCTGACCATACCCATCTGCTACGCTTTTACCGTGCCGAAGATGTGAGTGTAGGTGTGTGGTTGGCTGGAGTTCAAGTGAAATATCTCCACGATCCCCGATTCGACACAGAGTACATATCAAGAGGGTGTAACAACAACTACCTCGTCACCCACAAACATACCCAGGAGATGATGTATGCTATGGCTGATAATGTAAAACAAAGTGGTCAGATGTGCCAAAAAGAGTTTCAATCAAGGCCATCGTACGTATATGACTTTTCGGTGCCACCTTCACAATGCTGTCAACGACTGAACGGGTCTAAAATACCATAAGCATATTGGTCTGATGTGGCCTTAGGTATATGAATTTGATGGAGAATATTTATATTATCTATTATCGGAAGATTTAGTCAGGTTGACATTTTCATTTTGCTCAATTTTATATTCCCTATTGACATAATTTATTGTATTTTTCTAGTCATATTTATTATTTTCTGGTTTTATGCGAAAGCAGCTTAAAACTCTTCGGAATGTCCGCACGGTGCAACGAATTTTTTTAAAAGACGCAATTCTTTGAGAAGTTTTAAAATTTGAAAGCACTTATAATTAATTTCTAATTTATCTACTCTTGCATTTTTTCAAGTATTACACATTTATTTGATATGTGAAGCTCAAAAATTCATGTTTTGGGAATGATTGCACAGTGCAATGAAAGTTGCGAAGTGAAAAACATTCCAAGAATTTTTGGTAATTTTAAGTATTTAATACAACATCACTTGCTAAATTCTTCACTTTTTCATTTTCCCTATTGTTATACGTATTTCCTTACCTGAACTTGCATTATATTCCCGAGCATTTCGAGTGTACATTACAACACCCTTCTAGTCAAGTATAATATATTCTTTTGATTTGCGAAACCTGGAAACGCAATTCTCCATGGTGATCTGAGTCATTTCCACATGTGGACATTCAATTCTGTATTCTTTATGAAGCCGCCGGTGTTGTGGCCTTTTCCTATAACTTTCGTTGTATTGGTAATTTGGTCCCGAAACGAAAGTTTTGGCGTAGGTTTAATGCTTCAAATTTCAGGGTTTTACGTTTGCTAAATAATTTGGCGTAATATTATTTTACAATTTTTATTGAAATAAATACTGTTTTACTGCTAATTCGGCAAGTTTTTTAAAGGGATTTTCCGTTTTTCTTATACTTGATATTGTGTTAGTTGCTTTGGAGGTAAAATTGTATTTTTTGTGTGTTTTCGACAGATTAAAAGCGCTTAAATATTGAGTAATATGTTGTAATGGTATAAGGAATAGATTTTTAGATGTTACCGGTCGAAGAGCTGTTTCAGCGGCTCGGACAAGGCTCCAGCTGGCTGCATGTGACTTTGATGATCACATCGCTGTTCACGTTTCAATTTGCTCATCACATTTTTGTTTCCAGATTTGTTTTCAGCTCAAAATTGTAAGTTTTACATCTTTATATGTTTTGTGGTCTTTTGGTTGGCAATATTAATAATTAATTGAAAAATCTATTATCCATGATGGTATTTCGAATTTATCTAAATTTTATATTTTAGTGCAAAAGTCGTCTTGTTCTTTACCGAAGTGTTCTTTCTGTGTTTGTGTCCAGCTTTGGTGCACACTTACTGGTCCTATCATATTCCGTATGTTATCTTTGGCTTCATTTGTTTCGGCATTTCACTTGGATTGGCTGTTAAACCGAAATTCGATCCGGCTAGTGTTAAGAGGCCATTTCAGGATGTTAAGTAAGTTAGTTTAGATTTTAAAGCTTATAAAAAAACTTTTGACAGTATTTTTTTGTATTTGGTGTATGAAATTTTTGGTTTTCGTTGATTTATCTTGCAATAGGTATTAAAAAATAATCATAAACATGGTTTTGGCCATAACTTTCTTCGTAAAGTAAGGGAGGCTGGCATTTTTGAGAAATATAACGTAAATTTATGTACAAAATAATCATTAAAAGATTTTTATGAAATTTGCAAACTTGTTTATATTACAGTACTTCTACCCTAACACAAATTTTTTAAAACTTTTACGATTTTAGGAATGTTGTGTTGATGACAACATGCATGGTGATCACTGCAGTCGATTGTCCTCGTCTCTTCGATGTTCGCTTTATGAAAACAGTACAATATGGGTACTCGGCAATGGATGTGGGTACAGGACTGTTTATTGCTTTGAGAGCTCTACATGATGCAAGACCGAACAAACCTCCGAGTTTTGGAAAGAAGATTGTTGGAAGAACTCCGAACTTTGTTTTGTTTGGTGTGGTCGGCATTGCCAGAAGTATTTTCATCGCTGTTTCTGGGTATTATCAAGACATGATGGAGTATGGAAAACATTGGAATTTCTTCTTGACTCTGTTGTTTGTTGAGGTGCGTCAATCTTTCGGTCATAAATAAGTCAAAATTATCCTAAGATGCTGTTTTTGCTTAATTCCAAGTAAAAACTGCGTGATTTACATCAGATCTGAACATATATTGTAGTAGGTTCAGCTTGTAATTATTTGTAATAGAACTTTTTGGAATTTAGAGCTTTTGATCTCATAAAAGTTTGTTTCAGATTGCCATTGTCTTCAACAAGGACTATTTTTCGATTTGGATGTCGAGGATTTCGCGTTTTCAAATTCCGAATTTTTCGTTTATTGTTGGCTCGGCTTACGTCGCTCTCCTAGTCATGGACCCAACCATCGAGCAATATCTTCTTGGCAGAGAACCAGAAAGAGCTGGTGGCTTTTTTGATCAAAACCGAGAAGGAATTGCTTCGGTCTTTGGGTATTTGTTCATCTACGGCACGTTGTACGAACATATGAAGAGAATTTGGTAGGTTTTTGGGATAACTTAATTTTGATAAATTTATGTGAAATCACTTTTTGTTACGATATTGAAAGTTTTATGTAGTAAAAATGAGTGTTTAGTGCGCCAGAAATTTGGCAATACGACAATCACGCGGTAAAAGTCTCATCTGCTATCAAGAACTGTGCTAAACTGGCTTCAAATGGTGGAGTATATCTTGTGTTACTTTACATTTGCACGCAATACTATGATATCCAACCGTCAAGAAGGGTCGCCAATTTGACCTACGGATTCTGGATGGTATGTTTTTGGATTGACAGTTTTATTTTTTATATTATTTGTGTAAATTTGATAATATTTTGTTTTTGAGTGTGACGTAGTACTGAAATGAGATTGGTTTAAAAAATAATTAACTTAAATTAGTGATTGAAGTTTATTATCTTGGCTTATATATATTTTTTCAGATGTCAATTGCTTTCCAAGGTGCTGCTATGGCCTTGTTTTATCATCAGCTTACAGCTGATCCAAGGTATGTTAAGTTACTATATAATATACACCTTTGTATCGATTTGTTAAAGTTTTTGAGCTGTGTTACAGTTATAACCAAGGACAAATTAGTGACAATGACTGTAGCAATCAATGATAAACAATGATCACAATATCTATTTTTTCCATCTTACTCTTTTCAGAATCCTGTCAGAAGGCCAACGCCCGCTCCTCGTCCAAACTGCCATTGATCACAATGGAGCATCCGTCTTCCTCCTGGCTAATGTACTGACTGGATTATCAAACTATCTCAGAGATCCGTTGAATATCTACACTGAAGCCAAGGAGTTCTCGTTGTTGAGCGCTTACTCAGTCATCTTATCCTTGGCCGCCTACCTTTTGGAAAGCGGTAAAACCAAGAGTGCTGCACACAAAAAGGTGTTGTTTTGTTGTTGCGTTGCCTTTTTGTTGTTTTGTATTGAAGTGGTTATTTTTGTGGGAGCAAAATATTTGTATAATAGGTATTTAGCTAATAAGTTTGCGGAAAATATGAATTTGAGGGTTTAAAATTTTTTTTGGGCCGGCTACTTTCAACTTTAGCTCAAGGCTCGTCTGACCGTAAAGCCGGGTCTAAATTTTAGTTGAGTGCTATTTTGATTACTTTGGTGTGCTTTAGTATTTTCAAAGATTTTGTTTTATTTTTGCAGTGTTTTGATATTAAGTTTTTTATATAAATTTGATTTTACATTGCTTTTAATTAATTATATGACAAGAGTTTTATTTTTAGCACGAACCAGTGGTTACGTCTAACTTTGAAGAAGTGTTGGGCTACGATGAGCCTGGAATCTTTTATGAAGACAGCGACGGCAAGGTAGGTTATCGTATTTTATAATTTATGTAAACTTTGATAATGGGATAGTATTGTAAATTGGGAAGGTTATATAATATAATATAATATAATATAACTTATGTTCATCAAAGCATGATTATAAAATATTTATCTGCTTTTCTATTGTAATCTATTGTACAGGTTCAGATGCCATGAGAAGGCGATTCTTTACGCTTTTTAACCTGTATCTTTATCTGTTTAAACGCTTTAAAACAATATATTGTTCTGTTAAGTTTATGTTTTATTCAACTGATTTTACTCACTGTTCAGACTTCCTCGTCTAATTCTTCAACCCCCAAGAAAGACGCCAAACCATCTTCAATTCCAAGAAGAAGTACTAGAAAGCGGGTCCAGAAGAAGTACGACTAGAAGAAGAAAAGCATGGTCTACAATACGAAAGATGGGACAATGGTGCATATTATGAAGAAGATACGGGTTCGGATGAGAAAACGGTTCATTGTTTTATAATATTGTTAATGTTTATATCGTTGTTTTTTTTGGTTTTTTTCAATATAAAGATTTTGTAGGGAGTATTAATGGCTTTCATATGGATTTAGTTGGTGAAAAAGAATGGCACGGATTGGTCACAATAGAGCATAAATAGCATTTGACCATGGAGAAAGCCATAGACAATTTAACGTCAAGGTAAATTTTGAAAAGCAACATGTAAAAGCCATAAAAAGCTTAATAACACAATAAACCTTGGCCAACATATTATTGTCAATTGTAATGGATACAGTTGATAATTATATTCTTTATCTCAAAAGTCATGTTTTTCCACCCACGGTTGTAAAAGGTCAATCCCGAAACCAGACGTCAATTGAAATATGTGGTTGTTGCATCGATCATCGAAGAAACAAGCCGAAACAGGAAGGAAACCGGTTATCAGTAGGCGGATTCGAAACGCTTTCAGCCCGGAATCTCATCCGGAAGGTTTCTTCTTGTCACATTGAGTGTACTATTAATTATGCCGTTTTATTTAGGGAATTTTATATTATTTAAAATGGCATTTTTTGCAAGTTTTAGGGTTTTTTTAAACTTTTTTGAAGATTTTAAAGGATAACATACAGTTTCAGATGAAAATAATGAAGACAGTCGATTGTCGCTATAGAATGATTAAAAATATTGTTTTAGTATGTTTGGATTACATCGGGAATCAGTTTTACCAACATTTTTATAAAATTTATTTTTTTTTCAAGTTGAATATCAAAGTCGAAGTAGTTTCTGATTTTAAATACTTTTTTCAAAAGCCAACCTTACTTTTTTTAAATTTTAGCCATGAAAAACGTCCGCCTCCTAACCCTAGTCTTCTGCCTAATCTTCCCTCGTTACACTCTATCGTGCGCAGCTACTGGAGCTTCTCCTGGAACCACCCCGACCACTGACTATTGCCCCACGGGTCCCTCAAACACAGCTGGCCTTACGACGAATGGAGTGACAGCTCAGAATGCTGGAGATACCAGTACTCCAGTAGCCTACTCTTCATCGTGCACGGCTGGAGAGAGAAACTATTGGACTGGAGCATCGTCGGCACAGCCAGACGACGATGAAGCGAACGCTGAGAAGGCGCTGGGAGTTCAATGTCCAACCCCGTCCAGTGTCTGCGTATGTGAATGTAATGGAGTTTGTTGTACGGCTGGATCAACTGCGCCCGATACGATCTCTTTTGTTCCATATTGTTCTGGAGGATGTAAGTTGGTGATTCTTTAGGCTTTAGAGTGTTTGAGGTTTTTCTAAATTCAACATTGCCAATAAATCAAAAATTCGATTTTTCGATTTCAAACTTTTTAAAATTTCAGCCTGTCAAATGTACGCAGTGTTGGAGGGAGACGAAACCTCATCCTTAACCTGTACTGACGGTTCAACCTACACCTATTCTCAACAATATGCTAGCGATGGGTCATATAACCCATTGACCTCAGGCAACTATCTTCAAGCCGCTTCTGTTTCCTGTAACGGGTGTTCTGGAATCCAAACCGATTCTTGTTCACCTACTACAGTAACCGGCTCTACCCCTATCTCATAAGATGGTAGATGTCTTGTTTATGTACATAATACTATGTAGCACAACGTATTGTTGATGTTAATAATAATAACTAATAAGATAATAAACTAACAATTTACTAAAACTAAAATTTTTAAATAATTTTATTCAAAAGCACAACAATTACCGTAGTTAAAATATTATAAAGACATTAATTTGCATAGTAAAGTATTTATGTATATCACGGCTGCAGCTATTATACTACAATATACTTCAAGATACATAACGATAGAATTATTAAAGTGAGTAGCTCTCACATATTAGAAATAAAACCTAAAATCATTGTGGTACCGCTTTTCGTTGCATCATAAATGAAAACAGTACTATCTGGCACCACTTTAAAAAAGGTAATATATGATTTAAAATTGATTCCAATACAACGAAAAAACAGTACAACAAATATTGCTTTATGTTAGTACCAATTATGTACTGTACTAGCCAAAAAAGTAAACTTTAGTACTTAAATTGCAGTACCAGACATAGAAATTTAGTATCATAAATATGTTAATAGAACAAATAAACTTTAGTACGATAAAGAAGAAAGTAGTACCACAAATGTGACTTTAGAACCTGTAATGACTTGTATCGCTAATGTTCCGTTTCGCTTTGCCGATGTTCTTTTCGAGTGATGGGCAATCCATACGTCGGGTGTTTCTTGTGGAACTCGGAGATGAACTCCTGAGGCGTTTGACCAGTTTCCTTTTGATAAATTGGGTTGATTGAGACCCCGAGAATCTCCGGCATCATCCATGGCTTCAGCCACACGGCCAATGGGGTTTGGCCGCTGTAGTAGTGGCACTGAAAAGATAGTTCAATAAAACATCTCAGTATAGCTTCAAACATATATACATAGTATTCTTGAAGTGTTGAAGTGCAAAGTAAGGTCATTTTCTAACTTTTCCCAAAAATAAACTCAAAAACTCTTACCTTGGTGTAATAAAACAAAATCCCATCCAACTCATAATCATAAGTTTGTGCCATTAACTTTGTCAGCTCCTCTTTCGATGCCTTGACTGCTGGTAGTTCAACAAACTTGAATTGTCCAAAAGAATTGTTGAAAACGCCATTTTCTCTCAAAAAACTTGATCCCATCATTCGTCTACAATCATATTCACACTCTTCTAGTGGCAAATCGTTGGTGGTGAGATAGTCAATGACATAAATGGTGTTTCGGGTTAGAATTCCATCAATCAGACTGGTTTGGGAACGATTGTTCAATGTAGACTTGAATCGCGACAATTGGCTGCCTTTCTTGTCGTAGATAAAGGTGTATTGCTGAATGATTACGTTTAGATCAAAGTTTAGGTATCATACTTGGATTTTAGGTACTTTACATAGATATTAATCTAAAAAAACAATACTTTTCATTTTATGACATTGTTTTAAGTTATAAAACACATATATTAATATAAAACTCACATGTTCAGCAAGCACAAGTACTCGTTTCCCAGCTGGAGCAGGTAATGCCAACCAATTTTCAGAGATATCTTCCGGAATGTCAATCAACCATTCGCTGTACATTAATCGACCTTTCATGTCATTTCGATGAAACTTAGCTCTATGCCGCTTGTCACCATCTTCTGATTGACTTTTGGTTCGTCGACGACGATCAACTTCCATAAATCCATCTGTATCTTCATCTTGTTCTTCTTCTACCGGCTCTGCTGTAGTTCGTGCTTCTTCCATCTTCTTCATACGGGCTCTATAACAAAAGCACTATAAATTCAAAGATTTTTCTACTTACAAATATTACCCAAAATCTATAATAACTTACTCTCGCTGTCGCTGAATGACATCATTTCTGCGTTTTCGCTGATTTTCCTGCAGCGTGCCAAAGTTTTTGTACATCATATACCGAGAATGATTCTCAGTTACCTCCACCGTTGATAAGAAGCCCAACGACAGGCTCTCAATGTCGTTTCGAGGCGTTTCTTGGCTCATCTTACCCGACTCACACCTATCTAAAGTATTTTTATATTAGTAATCAAAATTAAAAATGACATTTTCTTCCAATAATTTAAAAAAGTACTATCATATCAACTGTATAACACTACGAAATTTATTATTTATCATATTCCCTATAATACTATCTACGTTTGAAGACAAAATAATAACGGTTAGATTGTGAACCAAAACCTTTTGTCATCACATACTACATCAATGTTTATGGTTGTTTATTAAGTGCCAAAGTAACAGAACAACTTTTAAAGTATTCGAAATAACATTATCAATCGTAAAACACAACTTTAACCAATATCCAGATCAATTTAAATTAATTAAAAACACGGAGACTCTTGTCCATAGAAGTTGTCACCAGGAATGTAGCCAAGCTTCCAAATCTGACTGAAGTTACGGCTTCTGAGTGGTTTTCAAACGTATTGACGACCTTCCAGCTCCTGGCTTGGTAGATTTGAACGACATTGGCAGCTGCGGCCAGGTAGGCTCCACTTTGGTCGAAGGTTACTGAGTTCACCTAAAATAAGATGAGTTATAAAACACAAAAAAAATCAAATTTAATTCAAGAAATTTAACAAATTATTATAAGCTTTTACTTTCAAAAAACTAAACACTTTAATCTTTGTATAACACGGAAAAAATCAGTTTTACTAATTTTTCCAAAAAACTTACTGGATGACTGCCATCTCCAACAGCAAACGTCTTGACATTGTCCAACTTCCTCAAGTCCCAGATCTTGACTTCTCCTTCCTCGGCTCCAGATGCCAAATAGTAGCCGTTTTCACTGAATGCCAACGACTTTACTGTTCCTTGATGTCCAGTAAACAAAGCGACTCTCTTTTGGTTTCTGACATCCCAGATCTTGACATTGCCATCACGGGTCCCAAGGCCAAAAATAAGACCATCAGGATGGCATCTTCCACATGTGATTGGGGCTTCGTCTTGATCGTCTTTTACCTGAAAAATTGAAGTTATTCTCTTCAGTTCTATACCCTAATATTCTGATCGGTTATTATCATGTTTTTCCTGTTGCAAACCATTTGCCAAATTAAAATAACTATCAGAGACACCACTAAAATAAGAAAAACCTAAAAACCCAAATCATCACTCATAAAACCTACCTTAACCAAAGCCTGTCCCACATTCAGATCAATAACCGACCAATGTTGATCCTCGGAGAAAGCAAACAAGTAATCGTTGGTTGGATGTAAAGAAATGTCATTAACACTCCCTGTATGAATGTTAATGGTATGCTTCGCTTGTTCATTCGATTTGCTCCAGATCTTTACTGTAGCATCTTGAGAGGCTGATACCACATTATCACCATCTGGATGGATAATACAGGCCGTTATTTGTTTCTTGTGTCCCTTGAAGGTTTTTTCAATCACTTCATTGTCCAAGTCAAACAAACTCAATGTTTTGTCTACTCCACCTGTTAGAACTAGTCTTTCCTGAAAAGATTCACTAAATAATACTGTTTTTAATACCTAAACATCAAAATATATATTATTTTTTAAAACTCAAAAAGAAAAACAAAAATTAAAGTATTCAAAAACAAAATTTTAAATCAAAATGAAACTATTACGTTCAAATCAAGGCAAGTAATTCCTGGAGTACCGACACTGTGAAGACCAGTATGAACAGCTCCTTCTTTGAACTGTGCCAAGGTTTCTGTGCTAGCCAGGCCTTCTGGCAACTTCTTTCCTTTTTGTTTTCTTTTTTGTGACAAACCATTACCAAACTCTTCAATTTTCTGAATGTTTTGTTCACTTAACCCGGGCAGAGCATCACCCATCTCAACATCATTCTCATCATTCACATTATCATCTTGACGACGGGTTTCTGGGTTAGCTGATTGCTAAAACGACAATATTAAAATACTATTATATTATATGTTAAAATATATAAACGACACTTTCAAAAACATGTTTTCCTTCGACTTTTAAATTAAAATTAATGTTATTCAGTGTATCATGCAAAACCCACCTGCAGACGATGAGCAGGAATGTTAGCCATCGCATTTCTAGCTGACTGCAACTCCAAGCTCAATCTGTTGATCACACGACAAGCAGCATCGTTCTGATATAAAGCATGTGTGAGTTCTTCTCTGGCTGATTGGACTTCATTTCGCAAGGTGAAGTTGTTCAGCATCAACGCATCCCACTCATTCTGAAGCATTTGCAACAAATGTGGAATCGAAGATGTTTGGATTGGTCTTGCATTCGCACGAGCTTCATCCGAGAGTTTGATCGCCACGAGCTAAAAAGGTATTCTAATTTTATTCATGAGCGACTCAAAAAAAAATTATAATCGTTCTTTGATGTTCTGATATCAGATAATTAGGCGTATTTTACCTTCTTTAATACCTAAAATTAAAAAAATCAAACAAAAACCTTACATCTGCAACTTTGAGAGGTTGTTTTGAAACAGGATCACATCCTTCGCTTTCGATATACTTCACAATCAACCGCTTCTCGAAAATTTCTCCAGAAGCTGGAGAGACGACGGGTTCTTCGGCCAAATCTCCACTGATAGCACATACAAACGCAGATGAAGATGCACTTCTAAAGCAACATAAAGATAATACTTTTAACAAAAGTTACAAAGAATTAACAAGACACCTTACGTTTTGCAAGAAAAAACTCAAACATTATCCTACTCCCAAAAAGTAAACCAATAAAAAATATTATGTTTAAGAACTCACTTGTCACCAGAAGCCATCTTAAGGTGTTAATAAACTACGTTATAAATAATATTCCTTAAAACTGGGTTGATACAAAAAAAACTCGACAATTTTTTCTCTTGCGCGGGCGTTTTGATGCCTGGAATAGGTCCCGTAACGAAATATTGGTTTGCAAACATTCAATTATCGGAATGCCAAAGTAGTTTCACAATATTTTCGAAAATAAAAAAAGTTGCACATTTTTGTTTTGCTAAATATTGTTATAGTTTATATTGGTAGTTCAATTATTGTTAATCATGGGTGAACAAGGTATTGGGCCACAAATACCAATGGTTGGAGTCTCTGTTGATGTTACTGGTAAGTTTTTTTACTGTTTGTTTGTTTCTAGGTATTATTTGAGGAGGAAGGTGAAGGGAAATAATGTTAGTGATTTTACAAGTGTGGTCTTCTAATTATGTTGTGAATAATAAGTTTTGTTATTTAGTTTTGAATGCTTAATTCATTAATGATGGTTTTTTAGAATCAGACGAAAACCAAGAAGATGTGATGGCCGAATACCAACGTCGATTGGCTGAATTGGAAGCCGCAGAAGCAGAAAAAGCTGCAGATGATGAAGAGGAAGATGTTACTGATGAGTCAGATGAGGAAATGGATTCTGATTTAGAAGAAGCGATGGACACAGAAGAACCAGATGGTTTATCAGAGATACCGATAGAAAAGTTGATAGAAGCTTTATACAGAGAAAGAGATGACGATAAAGCTGATCCATCAGAAGTGATAGTAATGTTTGAAGAGGTATTAAAGCGAGATCCATCATTGGCTCATACCTGGTTGGATTATGGGGATTACATGGAGAAAATTAAGGAGTGTGGGGTAAGTTATCTTTTTTTGTTTGATTTTAGGTAATTGAAAGAGATGTGACTTTTTTTGAATAGGTGTTGAGTTTGGCAAGGTAGATATTAGTATGAATGGGGAAATTTTATATTATTTTTTCTTTTAATAAGGAGGATAAATCTAGTTAATTTGTTTTGCTTTCAGAAAGCAGTGGAGATCTTAAAACGAGCAATGAAAGCAGTACCAGATTATATTCATATTGTTCGGAGCGCCTTGTTATCATACGAGAAAGCTGGAGTAGACGTGAAGGAAATCAAAGCGTTATTTAATAAAAACAAGGACAATATATATAGCCAAGAAGATGGACATTTGTTTTACACAACGTATATTTACATTTTACGAAGAAAAGGAGCTTCAGTCGATGAACTAGATCAGGTGTTTCAACAAGGAATGACAGAACTAGAAGGTTTATTTGGGGATTACTGGGATTCTGATACTACGTTTAGAAGGAACTACGCTTATTTCTGTTATACAAAGAAGAAGGATTCTGAAAAGGTGGGTAAAAATTGTTTATATTGATAACATAAGATTGTATGTTATAAAATTGATACTTTAGGTTTGTTTTTTATCTTAAAATGTGATTCTAATGATTCTTTTTTAGGCATACGAGCTCTGGAAGTCAATAATGCGTGGAAACGGATCAAAAGCCGAGTTCTGGCTACAGTTTGTTCAGGTAGAACGAGCATATGGATCAATTCAAAACGTTCGTAAATTACTGTACGATGCTGTCAACTCAGTAACAGACAATCCTGTGGCAATATTCACTTACTTTGTCCAATTTGAACGAGAAGAAGGCACAAGAGATCAAGTGGACAAAGCTTTGTTCAAAATCAACACTAGAAATCGACAATTGGAGACCAAGCTTAAAGGCAAGAAACCGCAACAAAGTCGAGAGAATGCGAGGAAAGAACCGAGACAACAGAAAGAAAGGCCTCAGAAGGCGGGAAAACGACAGATTTTACAAGAAGTTGAGGTAGAACCGAAAAGAAGGAAGGAATCACTGAAGGAAGAGAAAGTTCAAGTTGACAAAGATGGGTTTGCTGTACCTGTTTTGCCGGTTAAGGCTAAGAGTAGTCCGATAAGAGAGGAAAAAGGTAATGAGAACGGAGAATCAAGCAGGAATGGACAGAAACAACAAGCTGAAGAGGGTGGCGAAAGCAGCCAAGGATCAGAAGGTAAGGATAACAGCAATGTTTGGATCAAGAGTATGGTTTTAGATGAAAATGGTTAGATTTTTGGGTTTTTTCATGTTGTTATTGATTAAAATATTTAAATTTTCAAGTTTTATGTTTTACAGTATATCCAATTCTATAATTTTTAGGCACCCCAGACCGCACGATCTTCTTATCAAACATCAACTTTAGCTGGAAAGAGTTTGATGTTCGAAAACTGTTTCCCAATGCCGTCGAGATACGAATGCCAATGCGAAGTCAAACACAATGCAAAGGCTACGCCTACGTTGACTTTGCTACGAAAGAAGACACGGAAAAGGCATTGGCACAAGATGGAGAACACAAATCTAATGGCAGACCTATTCATATCAGTGCCTATCAACCTCATGGTAAAGGAGAGAAAGCACCATTCAAGTTTGGTACTCAAAGAGAAGAGAACAAGCTGTTTGTCAGGAATGTTCACTACGAACTTACCAATGATCAACTCAAAGACTTCTTCGACAAGTTTGCTCCCGTTAAAAGTGCTAGAATTGTGACGCGACCCAACGGACAACCAAAAGGTATCGCTTATGTGGAGTTTGAGGCGAAAGAAGATGCAGAGAAGGCACTGAAGGCTGATGGACAGAAGCTGCACAGTAGGAAGATTGCTGTAGCCATCAGCGATCCATCCGTGAAGAAGGAAGCTCCGAATAAAGAGGTAACGATACCTAAAACTCCAGTGGATCCACACAAGCAGATGTTGGCGTTTAAACCAAGAGCAGCAAGGCTGGTTGTGGAAAAGAAGTAGATCTCTATGTTAAGTTAAAGTAATGTTATTTTAATAAATTTAACGAGTATAGGTTATGGATATTACCATCATTAAGTTTGAAACATTTACTTAAGATTTTTGATATTAGCGTAGTGTATTAGGCCAGGCTTATTTTTTGGTCCCGAGGTCTAACTTTTTGAGTTTAGTATGTTATAATAAGTTGTCAAATTTGAAATTTTTTTTCAAATTTTAAAGATTAAATTTTTAACTAAGTGTTGCTACTGGTACTCCAGAAACCCTCAAAAACACCGACCTTGAACACGTTGCGCAACACAAACATTGTTGACATAAATTCGAAGGGATGTGAATGTCTGTGTAATTCGAAATCGTTCCGCCTCATTCGATTGTAGCGCGACAAAATCGCTTTTCGAAAAATCGCCCGGAATGAGGGTAACAAGAAAAAGGTGAACAGAAATGACAGAAGCGAGGCTTCTGAATAAACGTCAATTCCTCCAATTTTCACTTTTCAACTTTAATGGCTAGCCATGGTTAATGTAATGACGAAAATGTGTCTGGACTGATTTTTAGTCTTTTTAATTTTTTTGGTTTTTTAAGCCTAAAGTTTGAAAAAAATTCAAATTTTAAAAACTGAGTAGGAATTTTTGTTAAATTTTATGACTATCTAAACTTTTTTAACATTACCGGCTGCCACTAACAACTTTTTTTTAAATTTTTAACGGCTGATTTGACACAGTTAACACGTTTTACACTTTATAGAGGGAGGCAGCATAATTAGTTCAGTTTTTGTACGATTAGACTGTTACTCGGCTGCAAGTAAACTGTTAAACCAGTTACTTGTTTGTTACTTTTAATTTGCTTACATCTATTTGTTTGGGTTGAAAACTCAGTTTTTGTCCGACATGCCACACGTTTTTTACTATAGTAAAAAATTGGGAAAAGGTATTAAAATTTGGTTTTTACAAGTTGGTTTTAAATACTTCAGAGATTGTTAACGCAAAATTATAGATATTTTTATTATCTGTGTTGAAAGCTACGCAGTAAAAAAGGTTGCAGTAGGAATATTTTGGTTACCTTGTTCTTTTCTTATCAAATTTTAACATTTTTTTTCATAAATTTGTGATTTCACTTTTTTAAATATTACAGTAAAGGTACAAAGAATATACTAAGTTGATATAAACATATTTCTCAAGAAAAACTTTTAAAAAGGTTATATTGTTTACCAGCAACTACCGAATACGACCTTAAACAACTTTTTTTATAAAACTGCTTTTTAAAAGCTTTATAACATCGCCAGCTGTGACTTTTTGCGCGTAAAACTAATATCATAATACAATGATATTAAACCGAAGCTTTGTATTCACTTTCAATTGTCATGGTTTTACTTTCAATAGATTTACTGCTTGGGATCTTTATTATAATAGTGTAATTTGATTTTATAGCAAACTTAAGTAAAAATAATGGTTTTGCAAGTTTAAATGAAAATTGATGTCTAAACTATAATTTAGGAAGCAATATTAGAGAAAGTAGAGACCTATTTTCGTTTCTATTTCTACAAAAGAAACGGCAAAAAATTTATTGATCTCGGGCGGGCTCGAACCGCCGGCCTTCTGTGTGTTAGACAGATGTGATAACCACTACACCACGAGATCACGCTTCCTAGTTTCTTAAAAATCACTTTGTTCTCAGACTTGTTTCGTTTATTTCGCGCTAGTTTTGTTAAAATTAGGTAATAAAAAGTATTTTTTTGCTTCATTTTTATATTATTTTACATTTAAATGTTGTAGTAAAAAGTTTTTACGAGTTTATAAAATTACCTATCCGGACATGGCTAGCCATTCTCATTTTGATATTTTCGTAAACACAATTGGTCTGCCGAAGTTCATTTCGATTATAACAACTTCATATAATAACAATTATCAAAGTAAAGTCACATTATATTTTAGAAAACCGGTACATTAGTCATAGAAAACAAACCACGATATAATTGCTCAATTTGCTTTGAAATTTTAAAATTTCAATGAATTATGAAAAACGGCTAGCCTTCGTCGTATTTTTGATCTTATTACAAATTGTACAAAGTGTTGAAAGGTTTGAATGTAACATATTAGAGCCAGCTTGTCGCAGGAAATTGGAACAAAAAGCCAGAGGCATAAGCGAAAGGAAGAATAATGGACAATGTAACTATCAAGATCTGTGGTTGATCCCTGGAAGGGCCGATGCTTCTTGTAGTAGGTTTTTAGATTTATATTTTTGTCGCCTTTGACTTAAAATGTCATAAAAGCTAAATTGCAATTTAATACGATTTCTTAGGTCAAAAAGTCTGTAGAGTGTGCTTTATGTGCGACGTTTTTATTGATTTTTCTACGTACTTTTTGACCAATGTTTAAATTTTTTTGGGAATTTCAAATTTTCAGGTTTTTTTATTATGTTTATCATTTTCAGCCCGGCCAGACGCCAAAAAGTTGGTAGAAATCGACCCTCGTCAAGTGAAAATCACCCCTGCCATAGTAAAGTTCCCCGGTTGTTTTACGATTGAAATTAAAAACGTACGGATACTCAACGATAAAGACGTTCTTACTAACTCATTTTTCGCGAAATCAGAATACTATTGGCTGAATGTGAAACAATTCAGTGAATTGAAATGTCAAAATGCTTCAAATAATGGTTGTGGAGGCTATGGAAACAATTGGTGGGTTAATCTGCGTGTTAAAATAGGTACTAAAAGTCATTTTTTATGCTCGTATGTATTATTACAAGTCATTTTTTATCTGTTTAAGTGATTCATAATATATAAATCAAATTGTTTCCAATTCTAGTTACTACTGTGACATCTGTGAAAGCCTGAACGCGGCAACCGAAGTGTCGGACGCGGTCAAAATCCACAACGAGTTAACCGACCAGTTTAAAGGCTTAAACTGTCCGAAACATGCTGGCTTGTACACCTTCAAAAAGGAGTTTTGCTTCAACGACTGGTCAAGTTTCGATCAAAACGGCGACTGTCAACTGGATTTCCTACAGACCGATCAAACCGACTTGAAGTCGGCGTTGACGTCGCTGCAACAAATCGGCTACGTAAGGATTACTTGTTTGGATTTGGAAGGGTCTGTTACAAAGGGTTTTAATTGTTTTGTGGGGGTGTAACGCTGATGTTTAATTAAAAAATAGTTTTTCTTGTAAATGATCGCTAAAAAATTGAAATTTTTTGAAATATAGATAGTTAAAACCGCCACTCTTCCCAGGAAACATTTCAAAGTCAGAGAAAGTTAGGATTGCCTTTTTAATCGTAAAATAAGATCGTTTATTACAAAATTTAAATATATAATGTTTCCAGGGCACAGTAGTAGCAAAAGTAAGGTTAGCATACAATGCGACTGGAGCCATAGCTCGGAAACGTGATGCCAAGGCGAATCAGATCAAACGAATGGTCGAAAGAGAGTTGGCGGAAAGGAAAAAGAGCTGGGACATCAATCGTGGCCAATTTGAAAAGTTCCAGCAATGGTACATCGATTACAGGCAAAATATCTGGCATCGGTAAGAAAAAAGACGAAAATTTGAAAATTTTTTTTGTAGAACCTTTTTAAAAACTTTTAATTTAAAAATTAAAGCTATAAGTATGACGTTTAGAGAAGAATATCTTCCGTGGTTACTGTACGAAAATGAGTTAGCATGCCTTCGGTTGACATTTGATGTCTGTGAGCGTAATCCTCGGCCAAAGCCTTATGGTGGCCAAGGGTACACTTGTGACTGAAAACTGTTTATCATACTGCCAATGTTGATCTCTTTTTGACTAAATAAATATTTTAAAACAGTTTAGACATGCCATCATAAACGTCAACAGATTAGTTTCGTTGTCATAAACATGCCTTTAGAGAAGGATCTTCGTAGCCCATAGAAAGGTATGTCAAAGATAACACTCTAAATTCTAGACCAGGCTTTGGTTTAGGCCGTACCATTACAAAATTAGTTCTCCCTGCCAAAAAACCAGTCCATATTACCAGACGTAACTATATTATGCCAAATATTCTATTGTAATCATTCATATTTATGAAAATCACCCGAAAGCTGATAAAAGAGACAAGTAAGATCACATGTTAAGGTTGATGGCCAGAAGATGAGAAGTATGAACAAAACATGGTATAAAAATATATAAGATAGTATAAAAAACTTAGTTTAACAAAATAAGAATGAAAAACTTGTTATAATTAAAGATCAAGTGATATGGCACAATCAGAATGATATATAGTGGCTATCAAGTAAACATATCCGTATTTCATTATTTTGCACCTACACTACAAAAACAATAGGACAATGGAGAAAATTACAAAACAATTATAAAAAGTAAAAAAATGTACATAATAGTTAATAATATTGCCTTTTGTTAATGACCAGCAATGTCAGTACACATCTGACGAGCAATGTCCATACCCATCATACTACACATACCTAAAGCACTTGGAATGTTCGGCAGGTACCCGTGTTTTGAACAAAACCGAATCTGCCCTGAATTGAGTGAAAAGTAGAGGATTGTATCCAAAAACCTTGGTAAACAGCCTCAAGCAATCATGCCTTCGGTTGTAGTGGTTTTCGTGTTTAAATAAGGAGTCTTCACAAGTCGGGCATCTCAACGTCCATTTGTTCGTTACTTTTATCGGTGGTTTCCTCGTTAGATGGGCGATCAAGAAATTCATGGCCAAATCTTCGCAATTCATCCATTCGTCGATCTTGTCTTTGATGAGTTCTGGCATTGTCTCGTCGTACATCCGAAGGTATTCCTAAAAGTTAGACGCTTTGTATTAGATATTAGTCATAGTTAACATTTTTCCATGCCCTGCCCTGTGCCCTGCCCAGGGCATTGGGGTTTTATGCCCTGCCCTTGCCCTGCAGGGCATTTACAGGGTATTTACAGAGCATTTGGGTATATTTTGGCGGACACCTCCGCCGAGTGATCGATAATCGGCGGTCGTCATAACTTGGTTAGTTTAGCAGCTAGAAAAATGTAGTTAAGTGCAGAAGTTGTTATCTGTCATAACCTACACATTAAGCCAGAAATTTATGTTTTTGAAAACAATATCGTTATCGACCGGTCGATAATTTATAAATGTTTTATTTTTACAAAGAACAAAAGTTTTTGCTTAGAATTGTATCTAATTTAATTTTTACACGATTTAGAACACCAGAGCGATAAGAATATATATAAAATTTGCAATTAAAATATACTAAAAATTATCAACCGGTCGATAACAATACTACTTTTAAAATCTTAAAATTATGCTTTTACCTCTAGCGTATGACATATAATAACTTCTGAATTGAACTACATGTTTCTAGCTGCTAAACTAACCAAGTTATGGCGTCCGCCGACCGCTCGACGGAGGCGTCCGCCAAAACTTACCATGGCACAAACAGGGCATTTGCAGGGTAATGCAGGGCATAGGGCATGCCCTGCCCTGTTCCAATCTTTGCCCTGCCCTGTAAAAAAATTTCAAACCATGCCCTATGCCCTGCCCTGCCCTGTGTCCAAGCCTGGTTTAAACACATCCAAACCACCAATTATATTGTCTTAGCCACACATAAAACGCCAAAAATACTTATATTAGTTTGTTCCAATAATTCCCCTAGCTCTGAAAAGCTGCTTGACAAGTGACACATAATTATATGAACAATCTTATACTAGCAATATAAACCCACTATACCAGCCACAAAAACCTACCTTATGAATGAAAGCAGCTCCAGTTAGTATCAAACTGTACTGACAGGTGTGATTCGAATTGTAGTACAACTGTTGATCATCGTATCTGCAGTGATATCGTGCTGGGAATCCAACCAGTCGATCTCTGTTTTCTCTCCACACACTCTTGAAAGCAAAGATGATTTCGTGCTGTTTGAGTTCAATGTCATCGTCCAGCATTAGTACAGCTTCCGTTTTGATCTCATCCAAAGGCATGAATCGATTGTTTAGCGAATTTTGCTTTGGTTTTACAAAAACGATTGGGCAATGAAGTTTTGGCCATATTAGGGATTCTGGAGATCGGTCAATGTTGTTCCATACCACGATGACCTTGTTTAGGTATGGTAGCCTGTTTAAGTCGGCCAATGTGACATTTAAGACGGAATCTCGGTTGTAGGTTTGAATCACGGCTGAAAATACAAATATTTTTTGAGAATTTGCTTTGAGGGGGCGCAGAACTAAGTAAACGGTTAATATAAATTGTTTTCAAAAAAGGAAGGAAGTTGTCACAGTAGTACATTGCAAATGCATCGAAAGTAACGGAAATAGTGTTGAAATTAGATAGTTAACAGTTAGTTTAATAAATATTTAAATAATATTAGATTTTTCTTTCACGTCTGTATCACTAGTTTAAAAAAAGTTTGACCTACGCCGCTATTTTAAGCCGTCCGCCGGGGCTCCGCGAAATCTTCGCAATCATTGGAACCCCGAATTTTTCAAACAAATTGAAAAAAATGTAAAATTTCAAGAGAACCAATTCCCAACCAAAAATATCTGTCATTTTGGTGAAAATGCTGATTTTTGAAAATTCATAACGACCTTAAAGTGCAACTTTAAAATACGAAAATTTGCACAAAAAACGCACAGGTCTGGACTGCAACTGTGCCAAAAATCACAGTTGTAGGATGCACAGTTGCAAAGATATAAATTATTTCTGACAACGGAATTTCGTGAAACACCCTGTATTACAAATCCTAATACAATTTTTTTTTAAAACTGACCAGTAAATTGTTCTCGTTTTCTGTTTCCACCTAACGATTGACTATATGTGAGCCCAGAGCCTGGTGCTATTGGTCTCATTCCAGTATTCAAATGTTCGTTGAACTCAATTTCTGATGGCAATGGGGGAGTCACGGTTATGAATTCAGGAGCGGAATGTATTTGAGATGGATAGTAATTCCATAAGGCTGATGAATACTAAAAATATAGTTCATCAAAAATAAATGTCATAAAGAATGCTTTTATTATTTACTATACTATTAATAATATCACAAGTTCAACCCATAAAAAAGATAATATCGACCGCCAAAATCCTTACCATAGTAATAGCAGTAAAATTGTGATTATAAGCCACAGAATTGTACTCTGGCTCCACTGGCCCAAGAAATTCATCATCATACACTGGTCGTACCGATGGTGCTGAATATGTGTTTGTTGGCTCAAACTTTTCCAAAGACATAGTTGTAGCTTCTCTGCCTGGTATCAACAACTTGTGCCGTATGTAAGTTAGTATAGTGGATGCTAACACTAAATATAAAGTTATTTACAAAAAATATACTTACAAAAATATATATATATATAAGTTGATATAGTAGCGAAATTAAGTCACACCAAACTGTATATAATACCAAAATCCAGCAAAACATACCTTTAGAATTGACCAAGTAATTCTCCAGATAAAATCTTCCTTTTCGTTTCATTTCCAGTATATCTTCAAGTTCAAAACTTCTCAATATAAAGTGAAGTTCTGGTAACCTAGCTTCAGAAACTGTGAACAATACTAGTCTCCAATCGATATAATCATCAAATGGTAACCTGTACTTCCGCCTTCCAGATTTGATTATTACTGGTACTGACCCAAAGTTTAAACATTCAAAAAGTCGAGTAGAAAACGATGGTTGATCGTAAAATAACAACGTAAAAGTAGATTGTTTCTGTATTGATCCTAAAAATTATGACATAACAGCTTTAAACCTTGATTTTAAAAAACCATAAAAAAGTTGAGCTAATATTGCTACAAAATGTATAAGAAAACGTAAAAATAAAATTTTTTTTAAAAATTTCAAAAAATCATCATTAAATCTTACTTCTGCTACTCGCATCACCACACAATCCGTTTTCTGTCGATGTACAGATCAAATCAATTAAAATGTCATCCATAGATGCTTTTCCAGAAGCAGCAAGATTTTTAAGTTGATTTTGAAGATCAGAACTCAAACTGTCTTCTCCTATTTGATAGGACAAAAAGTACTAAAATTAATTTACAAGATAATTTCATTAATAAAACAGTTAGTTATTTATCCCTGTTTTCATAAATAACACAATATAATAAAACCAAAATTCGCAAAAAATTATACAAAAAACATACCGTGATCTTTTCCGGTAACAAGCCTTCAATGTCGTTAAAGTCAACTAAATCATCCGTCTTTAAAAATAACTCTTGGTCTAATTCTCCAACTTGACCTCTAAAATAAAAACAATGTATAACTTCTTCAAATAAATGTCGAAAGAAATTTAAAAAATAAAATTCTATCCAAAATACTTACTTCCCAAGATGCTGTGCAACTAAAACAGCTGGCCTACTATCTTGAACATGCTTTACATCTCCATAAGTTATTATAATATGATTTTTGCCTGATTTCCCAAAATAATCCAAATTTTCAACTTCTACCACTTCATTTGTAATATAGATGTATAAACAAGCTGTCGATGAATTACTAGTTCTGTAAGGTGACTCCATAAATCGAGATTGCAAAGCTTTTCCATGATCATTCAAGTTTGATAATTCGTAAACATAAACAGAGAATCTAGAGCTGATAGAACACTTCGAATAGTCGAATACATCTTCTAATGTTAAAGAAGAGCTTCTGATTTCATCAGTATTGCTGAAAGATCGATTTGAAGGCGTTAATTCAACTGGAGACAATGGTAGCTGCAACTTGACACTTCGACGATCCTTCAAATCTCGTTGAACCAGCTTTAATTCCTCAATTTTTGACTCCAAACGATCGATTTCTTCTTCTAAATATAAACAATGATTATTTGTAAGACTTGAAAATTGTAATAAACCTAAATTTTTTAAAAATGAAAGAAAAACTTACTTTTTAAAGGTATTTTTCGTTGTAATTCCTCCAACTGAGCTGTTGATTCTTCAAGTTTCTGAATCAGTTCCAAATGTTCAGCTCTTATAGAATCAAATATTCTATTTTGTTCTTTTAATCTTTCTTTGAAAACTCCCCATTTGTTTGGTTTCAAGCAATAGTCGATCATGTCACTGAAAAAGGCAAGTTATCGACGGGAATTTGTTGTTGAACATGAATAACACAATACCTTTTTAAATAAAATACTATGTAAAATTACCCATCCATTCTTTATCAACCATTAAACTTACTTTTCCGTGCATTTGCATCCGTACCCTCGAGAAAATAGCCAAGAAAACACGCTATACAAGAAAACAACGACTAGAATAGTGACAAAAAGCCTTGAATATCTCCTTGACTTGGCTAAACTGAAATAATGCCTCCAGTTCATCGCCTAACAATAACTTTAAACTATCATAACATGAATCATAGCTGTTTCAACTAATTTTGCAAAAACATTTTACAATTTTTCCAAAATTATTTTTAAAAAAGAGAAACGTGACGCAGAAAGAGAAGAAGACTCGACTCGTCTTGAAAACATCTGAAAAAGCGCCATTTTTGTCTGTTCTGGTAAATGAAGGTTTCTGAACACAAAGTGTAGACAGAAACTTGTGTTAATACCATAATAATCTTGTATCTTTGGCGAGTATTATGTTTTTGCTGTTTTTCATGATTATTTTTGCGTAATATTTATTTTTTGCTTTTAAACGTGAGGTTTCAGATGACGGACACAAAGAAAGCCGATGAAACAGTAAAAGTGCCGTTAGTGTCGCCGTTCACGAAGAAACCGACCATTATAGGCAAAGGACAGAATAATGAGAAGAGTGAAGAAGAGGTACCAAAGGTTGTGGCTCCAAGTGGATTCGTCTTTGGCGCTAAATTGGCAGATCGCGTGACAAATGTAAGGTTTTGGGTTTAATATGTTGAAGTTTAGGTAATATTGGAATGCAAAAGGTTATAAAATATATATTGAAAGTTTTGTCTAAAAATTGGTTTTAAAATATAAATTGCTGTTTAAAATGTTAAGTGTTTATGTAAAGTAACAACATTTTTATTTAGGGATTTACAAAGAAACAAGAAGACGGTCCCAAAGATGCTTCTTCTATCTTCAAGCAGTTTTCGACGAATTCAAGTGGAGGATTAGTAAGTTTTTTTGCGATTAATGTTGATTTTAGCAACTTTATCTTTTTAAATTAATATTGGCTTTAAAAGTTTTTCTTTCAACAAACGATTAAATACGTTTTTTAGTTCTGTAAGCCAGCATCGACGTCAGAAGATTCAAGTAATGTATTCAAGCCTTTTGGAGGATTTTCTGATGTAAAAGGGAAACAAGTCGAACTAGAAACCCCAGCAGAAACGATTACCGGAGAAGAAGGGGAACGTAATGTTTTACATGTAAGTTATCTCAATGTCTTTTTTGATCTTAGGCTTTTATCAACATTAGAATTATAAGAAGATATTGTTTTATGATGTATTAATGTAAATTTAGTTGAGTTGATTAATAAATACACAAATTTTAGGCTGCTTGTAAATTTTACATTTTTGACAAAGAAACTAAAAGCTGGCAAGAACGAGGGAATGGTGTTTTGCGAATAAACCAAAGTATGGAGGATGCACACAGTTATCGAATAAGTAAGTTTTACAGACTTTATCTTCTAGAATATAGAAACAGCTTGATTTAAAACTAAAAATTAAGTTGTTGGAGAACTTTAAAATTCTGACTTGTACCTAAAAATAACATTTTTAGTCGGGCGAGCAACTGGAAACCAGCGTGTATGTGTAAATTCCAAGATCTTTGCTGACATGATGTTAGAACGAGTATCAGACAAACGTATCAAAATTTCGGCAATGTCACCGGACTCGGACATTCCTCAACTGGTTGTAATCCAATCCTCGCCACAAGTCATTGCTCAAATCGACGAGAAACTCGATCAGCTAATAACCCTGGCCAAGTCGAACAAACGGAAAAGGAAAATGAACTTCTCCCAAGATGAAGTTGCTGCCAAACGTGACAATGGGATTGAAACGGTTGACGAGGAGCCAAGTTTTGCTGAGAGCAGTTTCGAAGCCGAAGCCAAGGATTCTGACGAATCGGTGGGAAAAGATGAGGATACAGCTGATAATGATGAAGAAGAAGAGTCGAGAACTGATGATTACAAAACTGACTCGGTGGAGGAGAATGGAAGTGCGAAGGAATCAGAAGACACGAAAAAGGAGGAATAACTTGTGAGCTTTAATTATCTATATCAATGTGGTGAACAAGCTCTTGAATTAAATGTTGTAAAATTTTGACACAATTTATGAGTAGTTTAACATTGCGAATATTGGTTATATAGTATTAAATATTACATAAACCGGTTTTGAATAGAGTTTGATTTTATATATAATAAATAGTTTAAAATTGTAATACGGAACCTTAGCGTATAACATATATTATGGGCTAATTAGAAAACAATATATATAATGATAAGCTTTTTGTAATTAAAAAATGAATGGCAAACATTCTAACCCTGATGGCCTTATATACTACCTATATATGCCTATATAAAGCAAAAATATGCCCCGATACACAATTGTAAACCTTCATTACTCCAGAATACAAGGTTTTAAACCACTTTGAAGCTAAAAGTTTATCCTCGATTCAAATTTCCTGAATGTGACTTTGAATTGGTTGGAGTGGTTCCCCTTCCAGATTTTTGGTTCAGAACTTCCTCTGCCATGCTTTCCAGACCATGAACGTCAGCGTTATAATAGTAACGTTTTGGCTTGTCACGTGTCGAGCCACTGAAAATTAAAACTATTTAGAGAAGGTCAATATATAAACCTGTTCTAATAATTTTTATCAAAAAATAGTTTTACCTCTAATTCGAGCTTTAACCCTTAAAATAAGGGTCCGTAAAATTACAAAGATAAGTAAGGTATTATTTATTATTATAACGAATTATATAATACCACCTACTTCCTCTTGCTGCAGACCGAGGAAATGGGAGAAGTGGAATCAAGGTTGATACTGTCAGCTACGTTCTGGAACCATTTGTACTTTTCGTCAAAGTAGAGGCGTTGCTTTTGTCTGAAAAATGAGATTTTTTATCATCATCAACTAGATTTTACTTTTATCTTATTGCCCTCATCGCTGCAAGGTTATGGCCGTGATATAGCCTTAAATACAAGTATTAATGACTTACTCCTTGCCTTCATCTTCTAGAACATCATTCAATGGCACGTAATTATTGGCTTTTTTTCTTGTGGAACCATTCGGAACATAGTCCTTGATGGAACTGATATCAGACAAGGTATCGCAGTCATGACGACTAAAATTTTAGTAGTATACCAATAGATTAAACTTTTTGCTTTGCTCAATGCTAATATAACTAGTACAAAAAAATTGAAAATCTTACCGGTCGTTCCTACGCTCCTTTCTTCGTTGTTTCTGTGTTCTCGTCTCATTAAACCGTTCACATTGACTTTCCGTGGACGGTGGAGTTCTCCAACCATGTTTTCGCTTTTTCCCTTCTCTCTTAACACTTGGACTCTTCTGAACTTCAGGTTGCTTACGCAAAGAACAATTTTCACGATGACTAGTGCTCTTGGATTGATCACTACTGCGAACCGGCTGACAATCGGCGTTGTACTCATGAAGCCAATTCTTTTGAACTTCGACCGTTTTCGACTTGATGCTCATCCTTTTGAGTTCCGATGACAAAACTGCATCAACTGGATTCTCAGGAGCTACAGGATCGGAGTCAACATCTGGAGACTCATGGAAAGGTCCAATCAAAAGGTGACGCGCAGTTTTCTTATTGCTTGATTGTAGTTGCTGCTGTAACATCGTCTTGGCCACCTGACGGTCAGCCCTGAACAATAATTAATTGTCATAGGGCCATTTTAAAATACCACTACTTTTAAAATGCGCAAAAATATGACATTTTTAGAAGTTTTGTCAAAATCCATGATGATTTTTGCCATAACTATTAAACTAAATTAGTACTCAAATAACCATCTTACTGTTCTTTGAGGTTTCTCTCTATAGCTAGATTCAATTGCATCGACAAATCAATTTGAATAAGCTCATTGGCCTTCATGTCATTCAAAGCTCGCTCGAGCTGTTGCTTAAGGGCTTCTTTCAAAGATTCCCGGTTCAATCTGAATTGCTGAAACTCAGTAGGCAACGAGAACGTATGACCATTTGAATGTTGATCCAGATTTATATCCACCGAGATTTTGACTTCATTCAAGATGGACGGATGATGTTCAACTTCACGTCCTCCTGACATAACTAACGACTGTACGACTAGACTGGCGAATAAAGAACGAAAAAATGAATGCTCAAAGTAAAAATTATAAAATTTACTAAAACTAGAAAATATGCAAATTTAGTGTTCTCTTAAAGAACTATAAAAAAAACTGCATTCAAATCCCAAAATTTCAAACTTCAACAATTTAATAAAACGAAAAATACCAACAAAAAATTGAGAACATTGGTTTGAATCAATCCAAGTTCACATTTAGGCGCTCTGTTTCTTGAGGTAGTCCAAGAGCACGTTGCGGGCTTCCTCGTCACGTCCCCAGTCCTTGACGACGGCACATGAGCAACCAACAACCTTTCTGGCTTTTCCTTCCTTGTCGTACTTGCATTGTCCAACGAGTTCACCGAGCTCGGCCTTGGTCTCAACCTTGTAGATTGGGATTTCGTGGGTTTTGCACAAAGCACGGACCAACTTTTCGTAGTTCTCCTCGTCACATTCCTCCGAGTACAAACAGAAAAGAGCCTCACGCCTGAAATTTAGGTAAAAAATTTTAGATATAAAAATTCAAAATTAGGCGTTAAAATTCATGTTTCTTTACGAATTTTTAAAAAGTTTGCTTTAGACGTAAACGTGTTATTTTCAAAAAATCAACCAAAAGCACTGACAAATTATAAAAACTCAATAATTTAAATAATTAGACCTCTTCCGCCTTATTATCTAAAAATACAAACAAAAAAAATGACTTACTTGTCCAAAACCTTGGCGGCTTCATGAAGACCACGAGCAACACCACCAACGACCAGGGCGGACTTGCATACCCTCTTCAGGGCTTGTTCGACATCCAAAGATGGGGCACCTCCTAACTCAGCCATTATGAGAAGTCCTCGATGCGCTTAAGAAAACAAGTTCTGAAATAGCAACCATCTTTAATAGAAAATACTGAAAATTTTACAAAGCACGAAAATGTATAAAACTACCAATCAAATGAAAAACAACAAAATTATTTCTTTAAAACTAGGATTTACTATATAAACCTACAATAAAATTGGACAAACAATATAAAAACAAAAACTTAAAACGCGACAAATAAGACATTAAAACTTTACATCAAAAAACAAATCCAACTTTTTTGGGAAATAAATATTTTTGCAAGAATAAAAATACCGTCTCTTCGTGGCATGTTTTGTTTTCGTTGCGGGACCCAATCTTTGTTATAGTGTTCATACATAAATTACCAATTAATCGCGAATTTTACTGTATAAATAGAAAACTAACAACAGTAAACTAATAAAAATAACTTTATTTCCAAAAATTTTATTTTTTTAGAAATTTTCAAGGTTTATAATTCCGCGGTGGAGCCGCTCCGACGTTGTTGAGCATCCATAGTTTTTACAGATTTGGCTTTTGGTTTGAACCAGTTTTTGAGTTTTGGCCATTTTGAGGGTGCTTTTTCGTCGTTTTTCTCGGCACTTGAAACTTTGTCGCCAAATCCTTTTAATAGATTTGGTAAGACGATTCTTGACAGGTAAACCGGAACATTCTTCTTGGTGTCCCATACGATGATAGCAAAGGGATTTGAGATAACTAGTTGATCATTCTGGCTCTTTTCTGACACCGTTGCGATGCTGAAAGTATAAATCTTTAAAACATTATCTAAACTTATTTATGTTTTAATGTGATTTCATAGCTATTCCTAATATTGTAGTAAGTATCGGTGGTGGTTTTTTGACCATAACTTTAAAGAAACTCATTATATTAGCTGCATATGTTACAGAAAAGTGTAGAAAAGCATGGGGAATCTAATTATATTGGTTTGAGATATCAGCTTTTGGAGTTAACATGATTTCATAGCAATTTCTGATATTGTAGTAGGTATCGTTGGGATTTTTGGTCATGACCCAAAAAAGGGAATAGTGACCTTGCAGGCTAGCCTGAAGTGTTCGAACTCTAATAAGTTGGTTAAAAATGAAAAAAAATTCAGCTTACTCTTGATAGCTCGTAACTTGAGGGAGGTGCATGAGTTCAAGGTAGTCGAAATGCTGGGTATTAGCTGTGAGTTTGTTGGTAAATGAGCTCGAAGCTTCTGCTCCTTCACAAGCAAGGTCTCCGAAGCCATTATTTTGGTAACTCTTGTCTGTATCAGCTAAAGTAAGGCCTTATTTATAAGTTTAGTTGGTGTGATAAGATATTTTTAACGGGTTTGAAATTTCGAATTCAAAAAATTTGTAAATTTAAAAATTTCATATTAAAATTTTTTTAAAAAAGAAAGGGCTTTCTAATCTCAACTCACGTATGCACCTAACAAAAAACTCAGCCACATTCGAGACGTTGTTTTGAGATTCGTCAAACATTGGCAAGTACAACTTCCTCAATTCTTTGAAGCTTTGGCCCGTTCTCAGAAGCTGGATCTTTGCTGTTAACTCTGTACCAGTTTTGATAATGCATTTGTCCCATTTTGTGATGATGTACACCTTGAGGTGTTCGCTGACTACTGGGACTTCAATTAGCTCGCATTGATCTAAAGTTATGTATTTGATGGTACGACGGGGCGTGGCTTGGATCAGGCAGGAGAGGACGTTCTCTGTCCGTTTTTCGTTGAACTGAAAATTAATTTATATCTATTTTAAAAGAAAGATGATGTTTAACTATGACTAGGGTAGGGTAGAGTAAGGTAAAGTAGATTAGGTTAAAGTAGGGTAAGTTATGGTTGGGTAGGGTAGGATCAGGTAAAATTACCTGAAACTTGGTGGTATAAACATTGTTTCCATCTAAAAACGAGCTGGGTATTTGGAATCTGAAGTGTGAAGCAGAGGCAATGATTGGGCATCTTCTGTTCTGTTCCGACTGCTCGTTAACCTCATCCAACCATAACTTAAATGGTTGGAAATTGGAATCGACCAGCTGTAATTTCAAGTTTTACTGTTAGAACCACACATTTTTAGGCATTTAAATAGATTAGATTGTTCCAATAATTCTGCGTCCTTGACTCTGAAAATTTACTTTGAGGGGCACAGGATTAATTGAACTACCTAATAGTCATAATCTAATCGAAAAACTAAAAAAAAATTTTAAAGTTAACATTTATTGTTCTATAAATCAATCGGTCAAAAAGTATGTGAAAATTGCAACTTAACCTAAATAACATACCTTAAGGTCCCTCCTCAGCCAATGTATCAGTTCTTTTTCGTTTTCTTTCGAACTCAATTTCAATTCAACGCCTAACTTTTTGAGCAAAACGAATGTCACGACTCCATAGCTTTTACTGTTCTCTCGGTGTACTAGTACTCGTCTGGCACTCCAGTAGCCATTGGGTTTTGCATACGTTGACAAATGCTGCTCCCATTCCCTGAAACAATATAAATTAAACATTTGTTATAAGGTGAATGTTATGGAAGGGTAGGGAAGGGTAGGTTAGGGAGGGTAGGGTAGGGTAAGATACATATCATAGTATAAAGTAACCCTTACCGTATATAAAAAGGAATGTTGCCATAGATATGTCGTGGTACTTCAGCGCCTTGAGGATTCAAAACTGCTCTGACAGCGAAATTCGAGTTTGTAGGACCAATCTCACCAACTAGGTACAGACTAGCGATCACCTGAGGCAAACAAATCGTACGGTTTTCTAATTTTCGTGAATCCATCGTCGTTCTAAAATACGTAGTTTAGGTAATATGATCAGGTCGTTCAAATAATTCTGTGCTCTTAATCCCAAAAATTTTATTTGAGAGAGGGCACAGAATTATTTGAACAATCTAATAGTATTCAGTATCTGAGATAATATACCAATAAAACTGATATTACAGTAGAATCTATAAGTTATAGTAGTAGCTTTAAAATTTTTAATAGTAGTTACAACACTCAACGGTATTACAGTGACAGTATACATAGAAACGTACTATCAAAAGACTTACAAAAACATTTCGTATACCAAATTGACCCATAACTTGTGATGTTCATCTCCAATCAACGGTCCTGTAGCCTCGTCTTCGGTGCCTTCGTTCACAAGATTCTGGAGTGGACCAATTAAAAGCGACTTGTGAACTGAAGAATCATTTAACGTTTCAGTAGATCGTGTAGAAGACATACGGCAATAACTATTACAAAAGATAAATCTAACCAAATTTTACGGTAAAAAATAATGAAATGACTTTTTACTTTGAAATTTTAGAAATTGAAAAAAATTTTAAATTTTTGTGAAAAATTTAAAGTTTGATAACGCCGCTTTGGTTAGGGTATGATAGAGTTGTAAAGCTTTTAGGCAAGGTTTGATAGAGCAAGGTTAAAGTAAAGCATAGTTTGATAGGATAGGTTAAGGTAGAGTTCTGTAGGGTAAGTAAAGGTAAGTTAGGGTTCGATAGGGTAGATTAAGATAAGGTAGGGTTTGATAGAGTAGATGAAGGTAAGGTACTGTAGGGTAGGTTAAGATAAGGTAGCATTCGATACGGTAAGTTAAGATAATTTAGGGTTCGATAGGGTAGTATAAGGTGCTCGTTAGGGTAATATCTATCATTAAGAATAATTTTTTTTATCAAAATATTACTCCAAATATCCATTTTTGTTTATTATCTTGTATACAACAGTAAAATTACAATTAGATCTACTTACAATATTATGAAGAAAGAGCTTTATTTGGCTTGAGAAAGAGAGATACCTGTTTTCGTATTCGTATATCAGTAAAATGCAGTAAAGTTAAAAATTAATTAGTTTTAATTGAGATCAAACAAAGTTACAAAATATTAAGTATTATAAACATATCAAGCTTGTTTTAATAGTATTACAATTAGAAGAGCTACATAGCTAGACCAACAACAAAACTTAGCTAGACTATTAGTTAGTTACATTTTAATTACTAGAAGAATTAAAAAGTAACATAGCAAGGCGGACTGTGTAATGCAATATGTCATACTGAGTAGTACTACGTAGTCATATTGAGTAATGCAAGGTAAAATAAGATGCCATTTCAGTAACAACTCTTATGTTGTACTATGTATGACCGTAATTACTCCACGTAGATCTATAGACTACAGTAAACCTCAATTAGCTAGGAACATCCAGTAGATTACCACTGTTACCAGTTGTGTTGTTAATGTGTCCGTTGTGGGCTAGCGGATTGGAAATGATAAAAGATCGACTGGTCATTAGCCCAGATGGCTGCGAATCCATAGTTTTGTGAAATTGTAGCTGAGGAGCACTGTTAAGCCGATCGCGTCGCTTGTGGGCTATCACCATGGCTATAGCAACTCGATCAAACTCGGTACCCATATTGGGCATGCTCAGGTCTTGAGAGTTTTGAATGTTCGAGTCTTCGTAGAAACTAGAATTAATAATGTCATAAAGTTTCGAATAAGGGCAGGGCAGCGCAAGGAAAGGCAGGGCAAGGCAAACTGAGGTAAGGTAAAACAAGGTAAATAACATAGAGTAATGACAATTCATCGTGTAGTGACCTAGAGTATGGTAAATCTTTATCGTTTAACCAATTTTTTTTATAAAAGTCAGCATCAGATGAAATACTGTTTTTCACATAATTTTAAACTTTAATTTTAGTATAACACCTACTCTTTATCGCTTCCTGGATTAACTTTCTGGATGGGTTTATAATCGTGACTCCTGGAGACGTTCTTCTTGTTCCTGGAGCAGAGAAACTCCTTCAAGGCGTTTCGAATTTCCTCATTGCAAATCGAATAAACAATTATTCGTGTGGCACATGTGAGCACGTACAACATGGAAATGATGTCGGTCAGGGTTTCGTACAGCTGAAAATTCAAAATTTTGGTTTTAAAAATTTTAAATAGATTAAGGATTTTAAATTTAATTGAAAATCAAAATTTTTTTGAAGAATTATTACAGTAGTAAAGGGGGGGTGGGAGAGCCCACTCCCCAAAGGGGCAGTCTTCCCCGACCCCCCCTCTAAATGGCTTTACCCCTGGTAGTAGGGGTAAAGCCATTTAGAGGGGGGGTCGGGGGAGCCTGCCCCCTTGGGGGTGGACTCTCCCACCACCCCCCCCTTTACTACTTATTACCTAAAATCTTAATTTTAAAAATATTTGTTATCTAAAAACGTATTTATAAAAATTTTCCCTTGAAAGCAAACTATTTTGAAGAATTATTACCTAAAAATTACAATTTTAATATATCTGTTACCTAAATTCTTATTTTTAAAGCTTTTTGCTTAAAAATCAAATTTTTTAAAGATTTATTACCTAAAAATTTCATTTTAAAAATTTTCCACTTGAAAACCGAAATTTATTACCTAAAAATTAAACCTTTCTTTAAAAATAAAAAATTTAATACCCAAATAATTAAATTTTTGAAAATTTATTATTTTTGTTACACCACTTACATTATACCATCCGCCAGTCGACTCGAAGTCAATAAACTCCCACGCGGTAATGGCGACGTTCAAGGTATTAGCAATCAAGTATCCCATTACAATGAAGACTAGAAGGCGAGTAGCTGAGCGGATCTTTTGCTGAAGATGTTTGTTTTACATATTTTTATGTTTATTTACAATATTATTGGCCAATAATAAGGAAAACCCAATATATTGGGTTTTTCAAATAACTCTGTGCCCCTTTCCTCTACGCAATTTTTTGGGTTAGGGGCACAGAATTACTTGAACGACCTAATAAGTATCAAAGAACGTTTTTTTGGCTCAATATGTTGTGGATAATATAGAACTTTTAAGACAATACATTACCTAAAATAACAAAACTTCACATCTAAAACAACAAATAATACAAATCAACTTACTTTATGATCGCTCTTGCCGAACCGAAACATACTATGAGATCGGCTTTGTCGTTGTAGTTTTTGTACAATCATAATATTTAAAGACATTAACAGAAAGAATGGCACCAATACTGTGAAGATAGTCCTGAGATAAAACCGGAATACAGTACCATAGACCCAAACATTCACAAGGTCGGTTAAGGCCACATCGTACTCCATTATACCCGTACAGTTACCGTTTTTTACTATCTGAAACATCGTATGTTATGAAAATATCATTATAGTATGATGAAACTGAGGTACTGAGCAATATTGCAATAGACCGTAATAAAAAATAGCATTATTGTTATCAAATCAAGTAAAAATATTGTAGTAGAGTTCCTAGTACAACATATTGCCATACATAACAAGACCTAAAACTTAGAAGTAATAAACCTCTTACCTGGAACTCAAAAACGGCAGTTCCTCGTAATATTAAGGATAGTAGAAACATAAGTAAAGCTAAATTACATCGATTCATCCGAAAACATGTTAGCATTCGATGTTTTACAGTAATCAAATACCGTTCTATCGTCGCTAGAATAATCATAAAACAAGAAAATGTCATAGAAACATGACATAGCGACAGTAACGGACCGACGTAGTGCCACCATAGCCGCGTTATCCATACCTACAACTATATTTTATCAGATTTGACTTTATTTTTGGTGAAGAAATGGTAAAAAAGGTTTTCAAACATATCATGAGTAACCTATTCTACAGTAAAAAACCTTACACTATTCTATATTACTCTACACTACCATACCTTACTCTATTCTACTGTACCCTACCTTATTCTAACGTACTCTACCCTGCCATACATTACTCTACCATACCCTAAACTACTCTACTCTGCCCTAGATTGCTCTAATTGCCCTACTATTCTACTCAACTTAACCATCACGTCCCCCTTCATGTGTCACCCCCTCCCAACGTACCTCAACATTATACCGCACGATCTCCATAGCTATTACAGGACCGTAACAAAAGCTAAGAAACGTGTCGCTAACGGCCAAAAGGCCAAGAAAGAAGAAATGAGAGTGTTTTTTCTGCAGTAGTACTCGTGCTATGATCATGTTTGTAATCAACGATATCACCGACAAAGAAGTACCCGCCACCGCCACTAACCACCATCGTCGTGCTGGAGCGAACGAGATCTCACACGGGTCTCCTTCTTCTTCATAATACTCGGTTTCTGCGCTTTCTTGCGATGTTGTCGCTAGTAAATATACTTCGTCCATTCTGTTCTGAAATGGAGTAAAGATAAGTACTATAAATATCGCTCGAGATAATGTTAAATAAAAACAATATCAATTTACCAAATAGAACAAGCAAACGTATTTTACAAAAAGAATAGTCTAAAATTGTTTATCAACTTATAATAATCCTAGCAAAGAGTACAAAAGCATCAATTTTAGATATTGCACCAATTTATAAGGTTTTAGTCATCTAAAACAATATCAGAAATCGCCAATCAATAACTCAAAAACTGATCTATAGAATTTTGTAATTCTCTCAAAATCTTAAAACTAAAAGCTCTAAACCCATTAAATCAAAGCACATACAGCCTAAAAAAATCTTAAACCTTTAAATTAATTTAAATTACATCTCGTACTCAGTATATATACGCAAAAACACGTACTTTTTCACACGCAATTAATACAAGTGAATTGTAAGTTAAAAACATACAAATTTCGTACAAAATAGTATCTCTTATAGTACATGCAGCACGGTACAAAAATAAAAAAGTGCGTCAAAGCAAGCGCTACATGTCTTGATAGTACACAACAGCGCGAAGTTTACACAACAGAACAATAGCTACAAAATATATAGTTCGAAAACGTAAAAATGATGATTATAATATCTTATAAAGGTATTTACATTTACAGTAAACTTATATTTTAATATAAAAGGGGGTAAAAACCCTACAACCTCCCTCTACACTGGTCCACCCCCTAACCAACTTTTCCCACCTTACCTAGCCAAAATCCATGCCCCCACTCAATTTGCAAAAACAAGGCGTAAAAAGAATGCTCGTTTCCAAATCTCTAACCTGATATCCGATATGAAAAAGTGTATGAATATGTAAGCACAATAACAATAGAGCTGTTGTCGTACTTAAGTGCTGACATGCTGGTCAACCACTGAGCACTCATTAACATATCATAATATTTTATGGTATTTTTATTGAATTTTGACGGAAAATGGAAGTGGTAATATTAACATTACGTTGCATGACATATGTAAGGGGTAATAAAATAATGTCGTATTTGTGATTTGAATAGTTTTTGATAATGACTGAAGGTAAGGAAGTAAAAAGTTATATCTTGGATAGTTTTAAAGCTAGAAAGCTGAAATTTGGCTCAAATAAAGTCGAGGCTATAATGTTATGTTAAGTTTAATTTGAGGGCTTTACAGCAAGAATGCAACACAATATGAATTTTTGAAAAAAAAACCTACAATAATATAGCTAATAAGTTATTCTAATTATTCTGTGCTCCATCCCAAAGCAAATTTTCAAAATTTGAAAGCAATGAATTATTTGAACAACTTTATAAAAGTCACATAAACTTATAAAAAATTGTAAAATACGAGATCTCCAAAAATTTTTATTTAATATAAATAATCCAAACCCAAAACATCCTGAACCAACAACCCAAACTCGATCGAAAGTGCAGTAGGGGCCGGTTTAGTAACGAGAAGACTTCTCTGCCCGACTTTATTTAATTTTCATGTTCTCACATCGATTAAAGACAGATGGACTTTACATTGCATTACAAACCCAAAAATAAGTTGTAACTGGCCCGAATTGGACCGGTTTAAGCGTTTCGAAATTGTGGGTCAACTTTTTGCTTTGAAAGTGGGTTAGGACTAGTTTTGTAAGAAGGTTGAACCCTTGTGTGCTAGCACGGGCTCTGGTGCGCCAGCCCGGGCCCTTGTGTGCCGGCCTAGGCTCTGGTGCGCCGGCTCAGTCCGGCCTTTTTCAAATTCTTCGGGCCTACTTGGCTCACAAGGAAAGTACCCAACCTACAACTCTCAGAATTAGCTCAAAAACTTTTTATACGGATTCTTTCCAGCAACAGTAAGACAAATAAAAAATCTTAGTTTGCGGTCTTAAGTTTTAAAATTAATATATTTAAATTTTGCGCTAATTTAGAAAACTTGGCATTGTGTTGCAAGCACTTTTTTGGATGTTCCAGATAAATTTGAAATTGCAGGTTCATTTGAACTTTCCTATCATTATATTAATATTAAAGAAAAATAATTAAAAGTCAAAAAACGACGAAGTTAAAAGCTTGAAACACTATGCCAATTTGGCGGGCAATTTAAAACGTGATTATATCAAAAGTTTTTGAAGTCAATCAGAGCGGGGCAGGTCGGGTACTTTTCTTGTTAATTTTACCCTATTTAAAGCGTAACATAAAGCATTTTTGAGACAGTAAATTTAAAAAGATACCTAAAACCTAGATATCCTAATCTAAGACCAATAGTTTAAAAAGAACTCTAGATTTGAATCACCAAAGTCTAAAATATTAATTTGAGTTGTCACAAGTAGAGGCGATGTTAATGTTTATGAATGCATGTTTTTCTAATAAGACCAAGATGTGTTGGAACAAATAAATATTAGTTTTTGAACTAGACGTAAAGAATAAATATTAAAATTGAAAATGAAGTAAATAATGTGGGTTGATATTAAAAATTGTAGTAAAATATATTTGGAACATCAAAAATGTCATCATATATGACAATTTATAACATATAGTTGTTCAAAAAATTCTGAGCTCTAAAAAATTTTTGAGAAGAGACACGTAATTATTTAAACTAACTAATACGAAATTTAAAAAAATATTATAAAATAAGATGGCAGCTTTGAATTTTAACATAAAAAAAAAGTTACCCATAACAACTATAACGTACAACCTACTCTTTACAACTCTTGATATAGACAAAAACATCCAAATATCATTGAAATGACGATATAAACAAGAAGTTCAGCTCAATAAGTCACGTAAAATAATCAAGGTGCAAGTTCAAGCACCGTGAGTATCCTGGATGACAAGTCCATGCTATAGAGAACGTTATTGTTGAGTAAACACAAAAAGTTCTTTCGGCTTTAGGTTGTAAACAATGGGAATGGAGTAGGTCTTGAAGATGTAGTTGGCGTGAAATTGAAAAAATTTTAGAATAAAAATTAATTTTGAGTTTAAAAATCCTAAGCAATGTAATTTCTGCATACTTTTTGACCGAAAAGATTCAAATCTTTCTAGGAAAGTGCCTAACTTGGCCCGTTCTGATTGAGTTAAAACTTTTTATATTAAAAGATCATGTAAAAATACAATCTTCAGCAAAGTACTAAATCATGTTTTCCAAGAAATTCCGAAAAAATCAAGATCAAAAAATTACGTTTTGAATTTTCCGCCAAATTGGCATTGTGTTTCAAGCTTATAACTTTGTCATTTTTTGACTTTTAATCATTATTCTTTGACATAAAAGTAGAAAAATTTTAAATAAACCTACATTTTCAAATTTGTAAGCGTAGCTTGTCTAGAAAGTTGAAAAATGTGCTTGAAACACAATGCCAAATTTGCCAAATTAGCAAAAAATTCAAATATTTAAAATTTAAAACTCAAAATTGCAAACTAACATTTTTTATGGATACTATTGATGGAATTTATCTAAAGACGTTGAGCAATTTATGAGTGGGGCATGGGTAATTTTCTTGTAAGTTCTCAGTGTGCTACCTACTTTTTGATAAAAAAGGACAAAATCAAAATAAAAAATAAAAAAAAATTTTTAAAAACATTGGTCCAAACAGCATTTATTTTTAAACCAAAAATTCTCATTCCACCTTTAAAATTAAAAAAATTTAATTCAAAATTCTCATCCCCCCTGCCAATAGTAATGTACCGAATTGAGCGGCGAAAGAACGGCGGATATAGGATCCGTTTGAGCAGGCCCACTTAGCGGCCCAAAAATACTCTTTAAACTCTTTTTAAATACTTAAACAAGAGGTTGTTAACGGCCAAGTAGTTACGCAAATACGGCTACGTGTTCGTAGACCAGCCAGACTTTAAATGCCTTTTGGTTAGAGATATACTTGAAGGAAAAACATACGTAAGGCTGTGATGAGAAGCTGGAATTTTGAAGTTTTTTAAAAATGCCTTGGGCTAAAGTTGAAGATAGCCGGGCATAAAAGTTGGGCTTGGCCATATCAGGTCTAAAACGGTTTTGAGCAAGCCGGCTTGCAAAACAAACGGGCCGGGCCTAAATGTTAAGCCCCTTTCTCACCCATACCTAACAACGGTCTAAAATAAAACCGCCGACCAAGCTGAACTATTCCAAGTGAAATGAATAAAGAAGGACTAATAAGAGGTCCAACTAGAATTAGACTAAACCTAAACTATCCTCCTTATCCTTCAATGAAGCCCCGAACCATTTCAAATAAAGTCCCGGATCGATTCACAACTTAGTTTTATCATAAAATTTTTTTTAACTTAAAATTTTTATTCTTAAAATGAAAAGGTTTTTAAAATATAAATGTCCCCGTAAAGAAAGTTTTGGCTCAAAATTAACCTTAAATATATGACATTACAAGTCCAAACAAAGATGTCATTTTAGGAAGTCGGAAATGTAAATAAAACAAAATAGCGAAAAGACAGCCGGTTGAGAAACAAATAGACCATGTTTCAGGTCAAAAGCAAATTTTTAGAAGAGGTATTGAAAGTGAGTACGAACTTAGTACTGAGAATGAGTACGACTTTAGTATTAACAATAAGTATGGCTTTAGCACTGAAGAAAAGAAGTACACTTATTATACTAAGAAGGTCACGTTTCAGCACCACCTGCTAAGTATGAACTTCCTCAACCTCCCCCCTCAAAAGGAGTTTTTTGAAAAGTACATTATGATGCTAAACTTTTTAATAGTAGAGTACGCATCTTCAACGTGCAAAGATAATAAAAAACGACAAGACAGACGTTTAACTCTCTTTTATTAAATTGTATAAAAAATATTGAGCTACTAAACTCCATATCGTAATTAAGAGATAGCTCATTACTTTTTATACAATCTATTAAGACTGAAAGACAGCTAATCAACTCAGCAAAGCCAAGTTAAGCTAATTCAGTACTATCTAAGCTCAAACAAGCCCCAAGCAAGCCCCGCCAAGCTCAGCCCAGCCTAAGCCCAACCTAAGACCAGCTTAAGCCCAGCCCAAGCCCAGCGCGGCCCCAAAGCAGGCAA